TTAGGCTCGGCTGTAATCACCCCCGCCCCCGCAGCGGAAACGAATATCAAGCATCACGTGCTTGGCACGATTCCTGGCCAGGGGGGGGCGGCACGACCGAACTGTGAGCGTGGTGCAGACGCCACCGCCCGTGACCGCAGCAGTCGGCGGAGCTACCAGGACCTGGGCGCGGTGCGAACGTAAGCCTGCGCCACGACAGGGCGGCCCAGGAGCTGGCGCGACGAGTCATCCTGGCCGTTGCCTGCGTCTGGCGGAAGCGCCTCGCGCCGCATCCAACCCACAACACGGGTCGGGTGGGCGAACAGAGGCCCGCCGCAGTGGTTGGGGCCTCGGCCATCGCGGACTGCCGCCCTGGCTCAAGTCTGAGCCGAAATCGCAATGGACGAGCATACCCTCAGGCAGATCGCGCGCGCAAGGGACAACGGTCCGACAGGCGAAGCGCGGTTGTCTCGGCTACTGGGGCCCAGGCCGATGGAACTGGCCACCATGCTCCAAGGGCGAAACGCGACTACGTTCGCGACGCGGGCACTGAGGTTGCGAAACGCGACTGACATCGCCGCACGGGTCCTGACAGAGGGGCCCGGCCAATTCTGGTCGCGTTCGCAAGACAGCCTCCTTGAGTGCTGGTCCATGATCGATTGAGGCTCAATTGATTCAAGTGTTTAAACCGCATAACGCGCGTTATGTGGCTTGGTGGGTGGGTGGGTTCGCTGGCACATAGCATAACACGTTGCGCGAGCACTACGAACAGCATACCTGCGCGCTGAACAACAGGCGCTGCTGCAACGGGGGTGGGTGAAGCGGAGGGCGTTGTGTTATCCACTAGGTAGGTGGGTGGGTTGGAGGCCACATAACGCGCGTTATGTGCTCGAGAACAAAAACGTCAGCTCTTGTGTCTGTGTCCTGCCTGGGCGCCCTGACAATTCAAAGGGGCCTGCCCCGCCAACCCATAGCCCTTGAGGCTCAGCAGGAGCAGGTGCGAGACCCAGACCTGGGAGCTCCCTGGAGGTCTGGAAGGGGAGGGGGACGACAAGGAGGAGGCAGCAGGAACACGAGGGGTAAGAAACGGAGGGAGGCAGGGCGAGGAATGAGGGGAAGCGGGAGAGCTAAGAGGAGCACGGGCACACGATTCTGCATGACCGTTTCTGAAACACCTGCGCGACGCCAACGCTGGCCCCTCTTCGGAGGTATTACTTGCACTTCCGCCATCCTTCTGCCAACGGTGGCGCACTCGTTTTGCACACTTTCGCCGGCCTCTACTCGCTAGCTCCCGTCGTGATAGGAAGCGCAGCACCAGCTCGAAGGAGGGCCACCCACTTGAAATGCAAGACAGCAACAAGCAGGTTAGAGCTCGTCCATCAATTCATTGGCCTCACGCTTTCTCCTGTCGAGGACCCGCTGTCCCGGCTCTTCACCGGAGGCACGGGAGGAGAACCCAAATAGCGCAAGCCCACGGACGAGGTTAGCTCGAGCCTGAAAGGGCGGGGCGGAGTCCAGAGGGGGAACCTCAGCATTGGGTGCTCGTCCTGTAAACCTTCCTGGAGCCTCTCGCTCCACTCATGCGTCGATGCTGCGCCAAACGTCCATCGACTTGAACCGAACTTGAGTTGACCTTGAAACGAACTAGAGACTAGAGTTGAACCAGAGCCAAACTGGAATCGAACAGATCTGCTGGAATGGCACAGGAAGGTCCCGAGCGCGAACATCGAATCGAACGTGCAAGGAGGCCGGGGCACCTATGGAGCAGACAACTTGCTCACTCTGCGACGGCGCCCTCTCGGGAACGTCCTGCGCTGGTCGCTTTCGGAAGCCTGAGTCAACAAGCGAAAGACATCTCCTGGGATGCCGAGGTGTACCCGTCGTTCATTTGTAATCGTGCTCATTTCTAATTGTGCTCGTTTCTAATTGTTCCTGGCCCCCCAGTGGCCAGGCCGAGGCCCAGGATAGAACAATTTGAAATGAAAGGATCTTGGCCCCCAAGAAATCAAAGAACTCTCGAATACTTGGAAATGAACAATGTGTCCCTCTTGGGATGCCGAGTTGTACTTCCACTGGCCTCCACCACCACTCTGCCGCCTCACCCACCGGCGGAGCCGCCGCCATCGAGACCCTCGCAGCTGGGGCCCTTTCTGGAGCTCGCCACGTGCCGCGGAGGAAGAGCAGGAGGAGGAGGAGAAGGAGGAGGAGGAGAAGGAGGAAAGGAAGGACGAGGAGGAGGAGGAGGAGAAGGAGGAGGATGAGGAGGAGGAGGGGGAGCAGGCGGAGAGGACCATCGGGAGGATCTGCCGATCGGATGGACGGCTGGGCCGCGGACACGTGGCCCGGCGGGGAGATGCACGTCGCGGCGCAGGCTTCGGTGAAGCCGAGGTCCTGTCATCGGAGGCAGGCCGGAGCAGGGAGGGAGGAAGCTCGGCCAGCACGGGCGACAACGGCGGCGGCAGCGAGGACGGCAACTGCGCTCGCGCTGCGGCGCGGATGGGGTGGCCTGCTCACGTTCGTGAGGAGGGAGTGGGGACACTGCGTCAGGCATGGTGACTGCCCAGACGGGCGTCTCACGCAGGAGTCGACGTCACGGCAGCGATCCGTGCACAGAGCAAAAGTGGGGATGTGCGAGGTAGGCGGTGCATCTTCGTCGCCATCATCACCACCATGATCATCACCAGCAGCGTCAGCATCAGGCTATGCATCAGCATCACCACCAACACTATCATCATCACCCTCCTCCTCCTCCTCCTCCTCCTCGTCCTCGTCCTCCTGCTCCTCCTCCTCCTCCTCCTCCACCTCCTCCTCCGCCTCCTCATCCCTCCTTCTCCTCCGCCTCCTCCTCCTCCTCCTCCTCATCCCTCCTCCTCCTCCGCCTCCTCCTCCTCACCACCACCACCACCTCCACCACCATCATCATCATCATCATCATCAGCAGAAGCAGCAGCATCATCAGCATCATCATCAGTATCATCATCAGCATCATCATCGTCATCATCATCGTCATCAGCATCCTCATCATAGTCATCATTATCACCATCATCATCCTTATCATCATCCTCATCATCAGCCTCATCCGCAGCCTCAGCCTGATCATCATCATCATCATCATCATCAGCAGCAGCATAATCTTCTTCTTCTTCATCATCATCATCATCATCTTCATCATCATCAGCAGCATCATCAGCATCATCAGAGGCACCAAAATCATCATCATAAGCATCGAACTCATCATCATCACCACCAGCATGAACATCATCATCGTCATCACCATCGCCGCACCACCACCACCATCAGCAGCATCAGCATCACCATCAGCATCAGCATCAGCATAAACATCATCATCACCACCACCATCATCATCATCACCATCATCAACATACTCATCACCATCAACACCAGCATCAGCATCATCAGCAGCATCATCATCATCAACATCATCATCATCAACATCAACATCAACATCATCAACATCATCATCACCCATCCATCCGTGACAATTATGGCTCACGCCATTCGGCTAGGAGCCGTCTCGGATTGGCATCAAATTCACACGCTTTAATGTTCCGTTCCCTGCCACTCGTGTTGTCATCGCACCCGGCGGGGTCCGAGCCCACGGGGAGCGCGATGCCACGACAGGACCGTCGGGCGCGACCAGCGACCTGGACGAGGCCCTGCCCGGCACGCAGGCTGTGGTGGGGCAGCAGCGCGCGACCAGGGCCGAGAAGGCAAAGAGCAGTGGCTCCGCGACCGAGGGCGGCGCTGGCACTGCGAGCGCCCTGGGAGAGGCCCTCCTCCGCGCGGAGCGCTCACGCGCACCCGGCGGGCAAGCGCAGCCTCGCGGAGGCCGCCAGCCTGGCGGCCAAGGCGAGCGACGAGGCGGAGCGGGCGGGCCGCCGAGAGCGCTCGCCGCCCAGGCGGCGGCCCTCGCCTCGGGCACGCGGCTCCGGCCTCAGGGGGCCGCAGGGGCGAGCCGCGGGCGGCGGGGAGCCGACGCCGCGGCGGAGGCAGGAGGCTCCCAGGGAGCCCGCGCAGCGTGACGATGGGGAGCAGCACCGCGCACCCCGGGGGAGCGGCAGCGCGGCGCGGACGGGCACGGCGGCCACGGCGCTGAGGCGCAGCTGGGCACGTGAGGCGGGCTCGGCGGCGCGGCGGGCGAGACCCGTTCACAGCGGGGACCAGCAGCATGGCGAGGAGCTCCGCGTGGACCAGCCGCGCGACGCCGAGGGCGAGCAGCAGGGCCAGGAGCCCCCGCGGGGAACACTCGGGCTGACGAGGCGCGAGGGTGGCTCCTGGCCGCGCTGCGCACGGCGCTGGGGGAGCTCGCCAGCCTCTTGGCCGAGGAGGGCGCAGAGCCGCGCGCTGCGCGCGCGCAAGGGTCTGCCGCCCGCGGGCGGGAGGCGCAGCGCCTCCACGAGCACGGACTAGACGAGGCGAGAGGCCCCCAGCTCGAGGGGATGGGGGCCCAGCTTGCGAGGGGTAGCCTGGTGTCACCTCCTCGTGCGGCGCCACGGCCGCCGCCCGCCAAGAGCGACGCCCCGAACTGCTGGCCTAAATCAGGGCCAGGAGCAGGCGATGAGTTCCCCAAGCGGGCGAGCTGACCTGGCGGCACGACATGGCACGGGTCGCGGATCCGTTCCCCACACGGCCAGAGCATGGGGCCAGCATGCGTTGCCCCCGACGGCCCTGGCAACATAGGCGGGCGTTGGCACGTCCACCCCCATGGCCGAAGCACCCTCGCCATGATCGGTGGAGCGGGCGTGGGCTCGTCTCACTGAGGCCGAGGCACCCACACGAGCAGGCCCGAGGGGCGAGTGGCCAGTGGGGGCGGGGTAGGCGCGTCCCCATATCGGCCGAGGCACCCCTGGCCCGAGGCTGAGACCTGGGAGCGCACCTGCCGCGGGGTGGGGCACGATCCCCCGCGGCGGCTGTGGTATCAGCAGCGTCGCACATACCGCAGCATTGCAAAGGCGAGGCCGAGGCACCTCCGCAGGCGGCTGGCGCGGAACATCAGCGAGACTGCGCCCGAAGGCCGCAAAGTCCGAGGCAACCGCGTGAGCAGTCCCGACGAGCAAGGGGGGCAACCTAGGCAGTCGAGGGCACGCCGCTGGGGTAGCCGAAGCACCCGCGCGTGCCCCGTGGGGCGGGAGTGGGTGGGACCCCCCCCCCGGTTGGCCGAGGCACCCATGGAAGCTGCCCCAATGGACCTGGCGGCGAGCGAAGGTACGCCCGCCCGCTGGCCGAGGCACCTCTGGCCAGAGCCTGCGGCCCCGCGGCAGCTGCCGAAGGGCGGACGCGCTCCCCCGTCGGCGGCCGCCAGCACCGGGCTTGCGGGTGGGGCGACCCCTGGTGGCCACCGCGGCCCCGCCGCTGAACCAGACGCGCCCACAGCCCCTGCTGCGGGTCCTGCGAGTGCGTGCTGGCGGGGCCGCCCTGCACGGCGCCTGTCGGGCCGCCGATGGCTGTCTCGCGGCTCGCGTGCCATGGGCCCACTGTTTTCTCAGTTTCGACCCAGGTGTCCGCGTGGAGATCCGACCTCCCCCCGTCCTCCTCTTCCTCCTCCTCCCCCTCCTCCACCTCGTCCTCCTCCTCCTCTTCCTCCTCCTCCTCGTTCGGTCCTCCCTCCTCTCCCTCCTCCTCCTCCTCCTCCTCCTCCTCCTCCTCCTCCGCCTCCGCCTCCTCCTCCTCCGCCTCCTCCTCCTCCTCCTCCTCCTCCTCCTCCTCCTCCTCCTCCTCCTCCTCCTCCTCCTCCTCCTCCTCCTCCTCCTCCTCCTCCTCCTCCTCCTCCTCCTCCTCCCGTCCTCCCTCCTCTCCCTCCTCCTCCTCCTCCTCCTCCTCCTCCTCCTCCTCCTCTCCTCCTCCTCTCCCTCCTCCTCCTTCTCCTCCTCCTCCTCCTCCTCCTCCTCGTTCCGTCCTCCCTCCTCCCCTCCTCCTCCTCCTCTCCTCCTCCTCCTCCTCCTCCTCCTCCCCTCCTCCCCTCCTCCTCCTCCTCCTCCTCCTCCCTCCTCCTCCTCCTCCTCCTCCTCCTCCTCCTCCTCCTCCTCCTCCTCCTCCTCCTCCTCCTCCTCCTCCTGCTCAGCCCTCCCCGCAGCTGCAGCGCGGCCGCGGCTCGCTCGCTCGCTTGCCGTCGTCGGATGTCCGTTGCCGTCAGCATTGTGGGATCGTCATCCTCATTAAAACCATCACCACCATCATGATAACCCTCCCCCTCCTCATCATCATCACCGACCTCCTCAGCATCAGCATCACCGTCAGCATCATCACCACCATACTTGTTGCCATCATCACCAGCAGCAACAACTTCAACATCATCATCATCATCCTCCTCATCATCATCATCAGCAGCATCATCATCATCAGCATCATCATCATCATGATCACCATCATCATCATCATCACCACCACCAGCATTATCATCAGCATCATCATCACCATCGTCGTCATCGTCGTCGTTCTCGTCGTTGTTGTCGCCGTCGTCATCGTCGTCGGTGTCGTCGTCGTCGCCATCGTCGTCGTCATCGTCACTAGCATCACCGACACCATGATCATTCCCGTCGTCACTCATCATCGTCATACTCATCCTCGCCATTCCCATCATGACTATAGCCATCAACATCATCAACAGCAACTGCAGCGTCATCATCAGCATCATCATACTAATCCTCCTCATCATCAGCATCAGTATAAGCATCAGCATCAGCATCGTCATCATCATCATCATCATCATCATCATCATCATCATCACCATCATCATCAGCATCAGCATCAGCATCAGCATCATCATCATCAGCAGCATCATCAACATCGGCAACATCAGCATCGTCGGAATCATCAGCATCATCAGCATGAGCATCATCGTCAGCAGCAGAAACATCAGTAGCTTCATCAACATCAGCATCAGCATCATCATCATCATCATCACCGCCATCTTCCTCATCATCAACATCATCACAAGCATAATCATCATCAGCAGCATCATCATCAGCGTCAACATCATCTCCATCGTCATCATCACCATGCCATCATCGTCATCATCATCATCATCATCATCATCATCATCATCATCATCGTCAACATCTTCAACGGCCGTGCCTGCTTGAGATGGCTTGGGCGCCAAAATACTTCGAAGCATGAGAGAGCAAAGACCGTGCCGCTTACGCCCAGACCTCCGAAATAGGTATTGTTCTTTTCAGAACCTGAGCCCATGGCCCAACTAGGGACCAATGTCGTCCTGGACTGATGTTCGACGGTCCCGGGCATCAACAACTGCCCCCAACATATATCCAAATTGAGGACAAGCCTGCCACCATGTTTCGCCCCGTAAGACAGGAGGAGCGGGGGAGAGGGGGCTAAGTAGGAGGGGGCGAGATAGAGGAAGAGACAACTACATATACATAAACTTTCGGAGGTCCCAGCGGCTTAGACTGGCGCTGGGCCCCCTTGGCGGCGCCCAGCGCCGCCCCCAACGCGCTCCGCGTGCAAGGGAGGGGGGTCCAACGCCGATCCAGGAAACCCGTACAGAGCTCCAAAAGTTTATGATTGTGCCGTGCTCTCGCCTTCGACGCAGGCAGGCGAGCAGCCCCCGCTGCCCCACTGCCGCGGGAGCTGAGCTGCTGCTTTGGACACAGGCATGCGGCTCGCTCGAGTGGAGACGTGGGCGCCTGGACCTCCCAGCCCCTCCCCGAAGGCCAGCTCATCATCCTGAGCCGAGGTACGGTCGGCCCGTATCATAAGGATACGGATGCAAGGGCTTTGAACGCCCACTCCGAAGGTTTTTGAGCGGGGCGCGGCCAATGAAAGTGGCGAAGGAGTGACCGAGAAGGCAAGGATGCAAGGGTCAGCACAAACTGTGCGCATCAATCGGGCGTAGCCCTAGCCCTGTCGAACCTGCCAGTGTGTGCCACCCACGTTGCGAGACACAGGCTGCGCGATCCGTGGGTTGCGCTATCGGATGCGTCTTCCACGGATTACGCCATGGGTCGCGAACTATGGACTGCGCGATGCATGGTTGCGCCATCCACGAGAGCGACCATAGGCTGCTCCGTCCATCGGTTGCGCCAGTGTTTGTGCACTCGGCGGCCGATTGTAAAACGGCCTGCTACTGGGGGTAACGCAGAGGAACCGATACGGCTACTCCACTGCCCTCTCCCGGGGTGCGTTCTGCCCAGAATTTCGAGGCGAATACACTGGTGACGACGAGGGCCTCACAGGAGGCCTCTGATTTGTTCGATCCAGGTTTTCTCTTTGATCTCTGCTTCGGGGGGCCGTTTTGTCTGGCCTCGGGGTAAATCAAGCATGGCTCCAATGCGAAAAACTGGCTCCAGGGAACGGGTCGGGACCTTTTGGACCCCACATTTGGAAAAATCGAAACGTTCGACGTCGGGGTCCACGTGGGGCCCAAAGAGGGTAGGTAGCGGCACTGGTACCTTTTTACTCCTCTGGGCTGTTGGATGCGCCATGGGCTGCACATCTGGCGGCCGGGAATGCAGCGGCCTGCTTGCGGTTGCGCCATGGGCAGCGCACTCGGCGGCCGAGAATAGAGCCGCCCGCCGAACGGGTGCGACCAGGCTCCATTCAGTCGGGTCCTCCTCGCGAAGAGCTCGTTCGGGATACGTGCGCCCTCAGACGACGGAGATGTCTTGTGATATTTTTAGGTCGGGCGTGTCCCCCTACAGGCGGATCTTGGAGGGGAAATGAAAGATAGTCCCAAAATGCCACCAAGAACAAAAACAACATAAAATCGTCCTACGACTATATATGGACTATTTTTGGATACTCCTCCTGCAAAGGGACATGCCCGACTTAATGCTATTTGGACGTTGCTTAATTGGGGGGGAGAAGTGGGGGGATGGGAGAAGCGCGCACTTTTCGTGCCCCTGCTGGGCCCCAGGGGGCTCCTCCACGGCCCCGTTAGGGCAAAAACAGCGCACCTGTCTTCACCTCCTCCTCCTCCTCCTCCTTCTACTACTCCTTGTCCTCCTCCTCCTCCTCCTCCCTCCTCCCTCTTCCTTCCTCCTAGCTCATCCCTCCTCCCTCCTCCCCTCCTCCTTCTCCTTCTCCTCCTCCTCCTCCTCCTCCTCCTCCCTTCTCCCTCCTCCCTCCTCCCTCCTCCCTCCTCCCTCATCCCTCCTCCCTCCTCCTCCCTCCCCTCCTCCCTCCTCCCTCCTCCTCCTCCTCCTCCCTCCTCCTCCTCCTCCTCCTCCTCCTTCCTCCCTCCTCCTCCTCCTCCCTCCTCCTCCCTCCTCCCTCCTCCTCTCCCTCCCTCCTCCTCCCTCCTCCTCCCTCCTCCTCCTCCCTCCTCCTACCTCCTCCCTCCTCCCTCCTCCTTCCTCCCTGCTCCCTCCCTCCTCCGTACCCGACCACCCCAACACAACCCGAAGATCGGAATTCAGGGTTGGGGGGGGACTGATTTCATGCTTTTTTCAATCTTCCCCGACCCCACCCATAGTGAACATGGAGGGCAAATGGAAGCCTTCGGGTTGGGTTGGGCTGGTTTGGTGGGTGGTGAATGGCACAACGCCCAAGCTATTTGACATGTCTGGAATCAGTATATCGGCTTCCTGTTCTGGGACCGCCACAGCGCAAGCCCCGGCTGCAAGCAGCAGCGCCCAAGCAGAGTTCGAGACCTCGAGGGGCCCACGTCCTGGAAAAACACACGCTGCGTCGACGGTCCAGGACTTCCGCCGCCTGGGAAATCATGCTCGGAGCGCTTGGGAGCGACCGGGTGGTCGCCAGGCTACACTGAGACCGCCCTCGGAGACCCTGAAAATTACTGAGGCCGGCCTGGACTACTGACCGCAGGGCAAACCTCGGTAAGTCACGCCATTCACCTTCTGTGCTGTCTTGGGCTCTTGACTGCCCTGGGACCGCTCATCCCTCGTCCCTCCGTCCGCACCAGGTCGAATCAGCGAGCGAACATCCGGCCAATGAAAAACAAAAGCCTGCGCTGCGCTGTACAGCAGGCCACCACGTGCAGTGCGAAACGACCTCGCAGACCACCATCGGCCGCCGCAGACGTGTACAAAAGCCCTGCCGCGCATGCGTGCAGGAACACTGGTCAGGCAGGAGGACGAGGGAGGGAAAGATAACCAACATAGTGATGATGAGGATACTGATGACGATGATGAGGCGGAGGAGGATGATGACGATGACGATGACGATGACGATGGCGATGATGATGATGATGATGATGATGATGATGATGATGATGATGATGATGATGATGATGATGATGAAGCTGCTGCTGCTGCTGCTGATGATGATGATGTGGCTGCTGATGCTGATGATGATGCGGCTGCTGCTGCTGCTGCTGATGATGATGATGCTGCTGCTGATGGTGATGCTGATGATGATGAGGATGGTGATGATGGTGATGATGGTGATGATGCTGGTGATGATGATGCTGATGATGATGATGATGATGATGATGATGACGATGATGTTGACGACGCTGCTGCCACCAAACTCGGAAGCGGGCCGCCTCTTTGGTCCGCCATCTGGGGCCCGTCCCCCCCGTGTCCAGTCTCTGGGAGCGCCTCCTTCCCCCTTCACAGAAGAGAAGAGAGAGGGGGAGCGGCCCCCCTCCTTCCCGCCCCCCGCTTTCGGGGCAAAGATTGAGACTCCACCCAGCACCTCCCTTCTTTCCGGGCCAAGAAGTGGAACTCCCCCTTCCGCCCCTGAACCCCCGAAACTCGGACAATCATATCAGACCCCAAGTCTAACATCCTACACTCAACCCGATGACCCGACCCTGACCCTAACGCCCCAAGCCTAATCCTGGTCAGTAGCGCCCTAGCCCTGACATTCTGACCCAAGCACCGTAACCCTAAGCCTGGCACACCGACCCTACACCCTGACCCTAAGAAACTGATACTCAATACAAGCCCTAGACCCGAAACTTGAACACCGCATCCCTACGTAACCCCCTTCACAGAACCCCAGGCACTAAGCCTAACCCTAACACCCGGATCCTAAGCCCAACTCTAACACCCGAACCCTACCCCGAAACACGAATCCGAACCAGAAAGCTCGAACCCAGACCGAAATACCCTGCACTGGAACTAATTCTAACACTCGAACCAGAACCCCAATACCCTAAAACCCAAATCAACATCGCTGACCAGAAACCCTCACCCTAACACCTTGAACTAGAACACCCTCCCCCTGAGACATTGAAGCCTAACACCACAAATCCTAAAACCCAAACCCCGAAGCTCCATCCCCTGACCCTGGCCAGGACCAAGATCACTATGCCCAAGACCAGTAGCCCACAACACTAATCCTAACACACTACGCCATGTACCCGAATACACCCTAACCGTACCTAGCCCGACCAACGAAACGCTGGACCCCCCTAACCCCCTGGCGCTGACACCCTAACCCTCACCCTGATCACGCACCCCGAACCTAAAGCCAAACTCTCAACCGCAACACCCAGACCTGATCCCGGGTCCTAGAGGGTCCTACGCTGGCGCCCTTCTCAAGGTTCCCTTGGCACGGGTCGGGCTGGTGATCGCCCCCGTCGGCCCAACGTGCTGCTGTCTTTTCGATAAACGAATGCACGACGCGGTGTTCCTGCGTAGCTGGCCGATATGTTGGTGCTGCTTCCCCATTGCACATTCAAAGCGTGGGCAGCGCATCCGTTGGCCATGATTTGTCTCCCCGTGGGCGGGTCATGCCATCATAGGAGCGAGGTTCCGCCCGCACGTGAATCAAAATCAGGTCGACCACGCAGTGGCTTGGCTGGCCCAGGCTGCAAATCTGCTAGTGTGCTACTACTAGCGTTTCTTCCCTTTTCTCGCCCCCCTCCTCCTCCTCCTCCTACTCCTCCTCCTACTCCTCCTCCTACTCCTCCTCCTCGTGCTTCCTCCTTCTCCTCCTCCTACTTCTCCTCCTCCTCCTGCTCCTCTCCTCCTCCTCCGCCTCCTCCTCCTCTTCTTCTTCTTCCTCCTCCTGCTCCTCCTCCTTGTCCTCGTCCTCTCCCTCCTCCTCCAACTCCTCCTCCTCCTCCTCCTCCTCCTCCTCCTCCTCCTCCTCCTCCTCCTCCTTCTCTTCCTCCTCATCTTCCTCCTCCTCCTCCTCCTCCTCCTCCTCCTCCTCCTCCTCCTCCTCCTCCTCCTCCTCCTCCTCCTCCTCCTCCTCCTCCCCCCGTGGAGGAGGGGGGGCCGTAGGGGCCTCGGCCGCCAGGGGTAGGGCAACCCGATGCCCGCGGAGTCGTTTGGAGTGGAGGGGGGGCTGGGAGGCGGGCCCAAAGGCGAGAGGCCCGGGGAGGCCTGGATGACGACGCCGTAGGCTCGGGGATCCGGGCTCGTCGGCGCAGTCCAGGAGGAGGCAAGGAGGAGGCAGTGAGGGGCGGCGATGCGGGGGGGGCTGGCACAGGGGGGGGATGCATCGGCTTGGAATCGGCGATGCATCGCCGACAGATCGGCGATAGGCTCCCGACAGCGAATCCGCAGCGGCCTGGGCGGGGTGGGGCTATCGGGCGCCTATCGGCGGTTAATGGGCGATTGGGGGTCGATGCATCCCCGCCTATGTCTATCCCCCCATATCGTTGCCCCTGAGAGGGGGGAGGAGGCGCGGCGGCGGCGGATCGCTATCGGATCGAAGCCTCGGGGGCAGACTCGAACAAACAGCATCGCAGACATAGTAGACCACGCTGAGCGACCTAGCGTGCTCTCCAAGGCGGATCATGTATGGAGGAGGAGGAGGAATAAAATGATGGGGGCACGATTTTGGATCATCGATCCTCCTCCCTCCCTCCCTCCCTCCCTGACTCCTGCGTCCTTCCTCCCTCCTTCTCTGCCTCCTCCTGGACTGCGCGCCTCCCCCTGGACAGCACTCGGAACGTCGGCGCCAGCGGCGAGCTCCCGCCTCGGCGTGTCAAACTCGCGCGCCCTGCCCGTCGGGAGCTTCTGCTCGGCGTGCGTCGGGGCAGCGGCCCATTGCGACGCGCCGTGCCCTGCGAGCTGACAGCGCGCCGCTCCTCCTCGCGGGGCGGGAGGCCAGGAGAGGCTCAGGGCGTTGGCGCTTGGGGCAAAAAGGGTGGCGTGGGCCGCGTGTGGCGCCGAAGCGTGGGGGGCCAGAACCGGAGGAGCGACACGCCGAGCCAAAAAGTTTCCGACGGGGAGCGCCCGAGGAGCCGCCGCGCGGCTCACGCCCTCGTCCGCGGGGGTGGTGGCGAGCCCGCGCAGATTCGGCGCCCCAGCAGAGTGTTCCCAACATCCCGTGCCACGCTCCTGACGCTTCTCACTCCCTGCCTTTCCGATCTCCCTGCGCAGCCGAGGGAGAGCGCGACACGTCCTCACTGCTAGCCGCGCCGCCTGCATCGCTGGGAAGACCCGGCAGAGTCATCAAAATGACAGCTCGAGATGGACACCTCCGAGCGCACGAGACCACCCCCCCACAGACCCTGGGGGCACATGCACCTACCTTGCGCTTAGCTGAATTAGGCCGTCAACGAGTCGACTGAGCGCGGCCTGCATCCTGGTCGAGCAGGGTTGCCATGGGCACTCCGCGGCCACGCGAGACCTCCCTCGCCTGTCAAAAAGGTATAACACCATGCAGGTCGAGCTGAGGTGCCCTGGGCACTCCGCAGGCACGCGAGACATCCTCTGCCCCCTTAAGATATCACACAATGCATCCTCTGTGATGTCATTGAATGGATTATTCACCGCCCTAGGGCCTGTCATCCATCGTCCTGCTCCATCCCTCCGCACCGAGTCGAGCCAGCGCTCCTCGAGCCTCTGGCCGACGTGAAAATATCGAATCCGCCACCAGCATGAGCCGCAGCTGGTGTGTTACGTGCTTGCACCGACTCGCGCGCAGTGGCATACCTGCCTCGCTCGGAAATGAGTTCACGTGTCTACTTATTAGAAAGTCGAGCCATGGTCGCCGACGGTTGCACCGCACTCGTCGCCGATGACCTCGTACTGATGAAGGGTAGCTTGGGTTCGGTGCGCGCGTGGCTTGCCCAAGTGCGCCGACCTGCCGCACGGACAGCCGCGATGCGGCCTTCATGCAACAAGACACGTGCATGCGTGTGCGTGTGTATGTCCAAACTGCGGGCCCCGTCACTTCTCCTTTGCCACCGCCGCGCGCGCGCGTCGGCTGACCTCATCCAAGTGAGTGTGTGTGTGTGTGTCTGTCTGTCTCTGTCTCTCTGTCTCTCTGTCTCTCTGTCTCTCTGTCTGTCTGTCTGTCTGCCTGCCTGCCTGTCTGTCTGTATGTCTGTCTGTCTGTCTGTCTGTCTGTCTGTCTGTCTGTCTGTCTGTCTGTCTGTCTGTCTGTCTGTCTGTCTGTCTGTCTGTCTGTGTGCGTGTGTCCGTGCGTGCGTGTGTGCATGTGTGTGCGTGTGTATGTGTGCGTGTGTGTGAGTGCGCGTGCGTGCGTGAGTGCGTGCGTGCATGCGTGCATACGGGCGCGCGTGGGTGTGTGCGTGTATGTGTAATGTACGGAGCCGAACCTTATACACCGACGGTTCTTCTGGCCCTGCACTGAAACTTGCACAGAAAAGCGGGCCCTGGTGTATACGGGATCCTGGTGTACATGTTTCGATGGTTCCCCGGGAAAGCGGGGAAACAGCATACACCCTGCGAAATGCTTAAGAAATCATGGGTTAAGAAATTCATAGTCTCAGAACTTGAATAAAAACCCAACGTTTCCAATAAAATCTTAAGATTTACATTGAAACGTTAAGAATTATCGAGACTCGGCCCGAAAACTTGAGTTTTCTTAAGCATCGCCTAAGGTGTACACCACACCATCCCGACGTCGTTCCCGACCCTCCAGAAGTCCCAGGATTGAAACACACACCGCCAGTGTAATGCATATGTTCCGGTTTCCGAGAACAAGTAAGCGCGTGTGTGTGTGTGTGTGTTGTTCGTCGGCCTTCGGCCGCACCCGAAGGAGGAGGAGGAGGAGGAGGAGGAGGAACCTGGCACGCCCTGCTGCTTCTGGGCCGGGCTCCGGCGCTCTGCCCTCCTCGGCCGGTCGCCGGACTTCGCCGCTCTGCTGCACGGGTGGCCGCGACGCCAAGAAGTGAACGTGTGTGTGCGTGTGTGTGTGCGTGTGTTGCTTTATGCGTGTTTTTGTGTGTCGGGCCCCTTGTTCCTTTCTCAATGTTCTGTTCCTTGCGGGGTGCCCATCAAAACTCCCAGTCGAGGCCAACACACGTGCATCCACCCTCCAGGTCTTTCCGCCTTCGGAAATTCCGAATGTCAATGAAACTGGAAGTGATTCAGACATGGCCATTTTGAGCGACGAAGACAAGCGGGTCTCACGCGAGAAGACATGGCGACCTTACGCCGCGGCTTACGCGAGCCGCCAGCGTGGCACACCGCGTGGAGACGCGGGCGCTTACGCGCGGCCTAATGCGGCAAGCTTGCGCGCGAATGTCGGCGTTGTCGACCCCGTTCTCTTCCGTCGCCCATTTGGGTCACACTTGTTTTCCCGAATATTCCAAGCTTGCCGGGCCAAGATGTCTGAAGCTGGGCTCCGGGTCGGAGGGGTGTCGCACGATTACCGCAATTGCAGGTTCTTCGTCTGCGCGGTGCGTCTGGCAGCATCTTGCGCCCGTTGGGGGCCGTGCGCGCGGGGCTACAGAGAGTATCCCGACTGGGGGGAGCGCCCTCCCCGTGGTGGACATCTCACGGGGGCGTCCAGGGCGACCCGCTTTCCACGATCGGCCTCGCGGCGATGGTCCGTTGCATCCTCGAGAGGTCCCAAAAAGACACGCGCCGGGAGCAGCAGTCAGGGCATGTGCGGACGGCGCCAGTGCCACGGCCACGGGGGGCACCGCGGACAGCGTGGCCGACAGCGTACGACGGGCGCACGGAATCGTGAAGAGGTGCGCGGATATGGGCGGCGGGGAGATGAACGACACGAAGACCTTCACGTCCGGGAGCGAGTGCACGCGGGGTGTCCTGGAGCCGACATTCATCAAGATCTTGCCGGCGCTTGACGCTTGGGCGCTTCTCGGACGATGCGCAGAAATCTGCGGGAACCTGATGGCGTCTGGGAGAGTTCGGAAGGATCTGGAAGAATCTGCACGGAGGGTCAGAGCGCCACCGAACTCGAGACGCAGCGACTGCAAACACAGAAGGGGACCATCGCCAAGGTGCGCAACGTGTCCTACCATTGGAGGCGCCGAGCTTTCATGCTTCTTGCCACACGGTCCCCAGGCTACGTTTGGACATGGCGTCGGCCAATTGGGCCTGGAAGTTGAGGAACTCAAAAAGGCCTTCACAACTATCATGCGGAGGCTGTGGAAGACGCACACGTACTCGTGCAGCCCGTCGCTCAGCTTCTGCCTTTTGGCGCCGCCACAGCTCGACCCCGAGTTCGGGTACAACTACGACGCCCTGCGCACCATGCACCTGGCGCTGACAAAACCCGGGCATACGCGCGAAGGGCAGGGAGTTGTACCAGAAACCAGCAGTGGCAGCGCGGCATGGCCCGGTCATGCGGCTACGGTGCCTCAGCTGATTGGCGGTGTACGGCGGCGCAGTCGAGGAGCTGGTGGCCGGGGTCGACAACCAGGGGGAGTGGGAACACAAGCTGAGGGAGTCCTGGCGAAGCACTACGCAGGCGCCGCTCACATCGACCGAGAGCGCACGATGAACTTGTACAACAGGCTGCAGAGGAGGGCCAACGAGGAGGACGTGAGCGGGGACCAGGACGACGATGAGCAAGCAGGCGCGGCTGGTGTCCTCGAAGCGAGGAAGCAACTCGGCGTCTTGCGGCTTGTTCTGGCCGGCGGGCTCATGACCTCCGAGCGCAATGCCAGGCACCGCGGGGACGGCGGCCACTCGAAGTGCAGGTGCGGGGCAGAGGAGGATGTTCTGCACGTCACGTGGCACTGTGGCGAATACGCTGGACGGCGGCGCGAGGCCCTCAAGGTGCTCCCGAGGGACATCATGCTGACGCCCATGTGCGTGCTGTACGCCGCAATCATCCCGCGGTCGTCGCAGCTCACAGTCTCGCAGGTGGTCGCCTTGCAGAGCATGTTCGTCGACATCTGGACCCAGCACATCCAGAGATACCACGAAGGTGCCCGCTTCGCGGATGGCCCCGAGAGCGGGCCGAGAGGCCTAATCATGGAAAACGGCCATGCGCTCGCACCTCGCAAGGACGCCCAGGGCGTGTGGTCGAAGATCACGGGGCGCCCGCGCTAGCAGGCAGCGCTAACCCCCCGAAAGATGGCTGACCAAGGAGGGCTACAACCAGGCCGCCTCCGGGATGGGCCGACTGGAGAAGGAGCCGAATGCCAGGTACAACGTCGGCCGACACGAGCTCCGCTGGAACCGCAAGACGGGTAAAACCATCCGGGGGGAGGAACGGGGCCTCATCACATGTCAGCGGTGCCGTCGGACGTGGCGATGGAAGGGCCGAGTGAACAACCTGCCACGGGTGACAGCGTGCAGAGTCCCTGGGGAGACGCAGCAGCAGCCGCCAGCAGCCGCGTCGTCCGGCGGAGGCGTGCAGGGAGCCGCGGCACAAGCTCCACTAGCAGAGCCGGCGGTACCAGCGCCAAAAGCGGCCGGGCGAGGCCGCACAGGAGGCCGAGGAGGAGGAGGAGGGAGAGCCAGGCCAGCCCCCAGCACAGCCGCAGGCAGGGGAGGGGGAGGAGGAGCTGAAGGAGGACAGCAGGCCGAACCAGCACCCGCAGCCGCAGCGCCAGCACCAGCACCAGCACCAGCGCCAGCACCAACGCCAGCACCACAGGCCAAGCCAACACCAGCGACAGCACCAGCGTCCAGATCGGCAGGGAGAGGAGACACAGGAGGAAGAGAAGGAGGAGGAGGAGGAGGAGGAGGAGGAGGAGGAGGAGGATACAACGCTGGCTGGCGGACGCCGCGCTCCACGGTCAAGCCGAAGGCACCAGGCGTGCACGGGCGAAGGGGCAGCCCGAGCGGCCACCTGGGGTGCCAAGAAAGACGGTGGCCCCCACCCGAGAGACAGGATCTCGGAGCCCCGCAAGCTCCAAATAAAGAGGACAGGGGAAACAAGAGGATGAAGGTCCGCGGGGAGCACACCAGCAAGGGTGCTCCACTCTCGCGACCCAAATCCCCGTCAGTACGTTTCTGGGTCGGCAACATGTAATGGACGAGGCGCAGGGATCCTGCGAGAATCGTGTCTGCCCTCGTCCGCTTTCGGTTCCGAAGGGCCCGTTCCGAAAGCCGATATGTAGGGTCGGTGGACGGACATCCTATCAACAAATGTCCTGCCGTGCCAGTGGTGAAAAATCCACAGGAGACACAAAGGCAAACGTGCCCCGAGGAAACCCAGAGACGATGCCCCCTGGCCGCGGACGCGGGAACGGGCCCCGTTTCTGGCATGGCACGGTCAAGCACAACTGTGGCGGCCATGGTAGGCCTATCCCTGCGATGGCCGCCAGTCTTCCTACGCGTATCAGGGCGAAACGCGGGGCCCTCGCGATCTGGAATAGCGAGATCCCTGATCGCAAGGCCTCTGTCCCTGGAGGCGCCATCCCTAACCGAGACCATCGGCTCGAAGCTGACCCGAGGACGCACGTGGCGCTCGGGCCCGCAACTCGGTGCGAGGCCGCGCCGGCGTCGCCTACCAGGGGAGAACGGCGCCGCCTCCCAGGGTCTGAGAGCCCCTTCCCGAGGCAGAGGAGGACCGATCGAGTCGGAACCCAGCCGAGGGGGGCGGGCAGTTCCGCCGCCAGCAGCGGAAGAGGAGATGGAGGGAGATGGAGGGAGGAGAGGAGATGGAGGGAGATGGAGATGGAGGGAGGCTGAGCAGCAGGAGGAAGAGGAGATGGAGGGAGGCCGCGCCCTTGCCTCTGCCGCGGCCGCCGGCCGAGGAGGGGCGTGGAGGAGGAGGCGGCGGGGAACCCGCCGGGAGGGGAGGACGAACGCCAGCACCCAGCGGCGGAGGGAGGCAGAGGAGGAGGGACACGGCGCCCAGCATCAGCTGAGAAATTCTCCTCCTCCTCCTCCTCCTCCTCTCTCCTCCCTCCTCCTCCTCCTCCTCCAAGGAGGAAAACAAAAGACAAGTGGAGGAGAAGGGGCAGCAGCAGCAACGTCATCACCACCCACAGCGGCAACAGCAGCAGCTCGGCGGCGGGGGCGGCATCCTCCGAAAGGCGAAGGGTCGGTGGTGTTCGGTGGTGGGCTCCCACGCTGCGGGCCTGCTTGCCCATCCAAGCATCGACTTGCCGGACCAAGGTGTCTTTAAGAGGGCATAGGTGGGGCCCAATAGGAACGAACAGGGACCCAAGATGGTTAGAGAAAGCCTTGAATGGGGCACCCAATGTGGCCCCAAGGAGGCTCAAACCAAAAACCAGGCTCCCAGGCGATCCCAAAGAAGAGACTCCCAACGCGGCCCACGGGAGGCCACGAAGCCGCCAAGATGGCCTACGAGGCCCCCGAGGTGGACCAGGATAACTCCAAGATCGTCCTCGAGGCCCCTCAGATCGTCCTCGAGGCTCCCAAGACAGCCCCATCTACTTTTCTCCCTGCGCCGCCAAACCCGAAGACTTGGCCCAAGAAGCCAAACACATGACGAACCCTGGTCACCGAATGTCCCCTCCGCAGCGGGTGGAGGAGCACGCGAGCCAATAGGTTGGCCAATGTTGGGCCCAACGGTTGGCCGCACAAGCACTGGCAACAAAACCCTGGGGCTGCGGTGGTCCGCCGGCAGCGTCTTCAACAATTAGCTTGCGGCGCATAACTTACCGCAATCTTGCCATTGCGATCTCGGGAAAGAAACCAGACCAAGGCAAAAACTCTGCCGTGCAGAGTACGCAGAATGGCCAGTCAAACGAGGAGAGGATGAATGTGTAACCACAGTTTGTTGGGCGTGGCCTAGCCTGGCAAGCCACAGGCACGTCAACCAAATATGCGCTGGTGCTCAGTTTGTATCTGCCGTCGTGCCCGTGCTTGAGTGGACGATCGACGATGTCGCTATGGACCTGCTTCTGACCTGGATGTGGTCTCGGTTTGCCCATTCCAAGCCGAACCGAGAGCAGATAGCATCGCCAATAGTTTGGTCGGCGACTGCTTATACTCAAGCAGATGGACTCCGAAACACAGAATCACACATGCAGTGGGTGTCTCAGTACGTAATGCGTGTCTGCCGTGGCTGGTGCAACGCGGGAGAAGGACCGAGTGACTGACTGACTGACCGACTGACGCGCCCTAACACAGCGAGATCCCCACAGTAGACTAAAGTCTTGCAAGTCCGAAGGCTAATGCGACCCTTCTCGAACACGGACATTGATTAGCGACAGCATGTCCTCAACTAAAGCCCACAAGGTCTTGGGGTCACGGGTGGCCTGAGGGTTGAACCTTGCGGTCCACCCTGTTTGGTCCCACCTGTTTACATGACCCCGAGACGACATCGTGAAGGTCTTTGAGGAGGTGGGGGCTCGGCAATCCCAAGTCCTCCTGGCCGGGGTGACCAATCATGACCCTGCCCGCCTCCCCGACCCCGGATCCGATTCCAGCTCCCGCCTTTTCGACTCCAGCTCACGATCTTGATTATTTATGTTGGCGGAGTGGTTGAAGGTATTCTGCAGGTTCCGACTCCGATGGGCCCGACTTGCTGCGACGCGAGAGCCGGACATCCACGACCTCTGGCAAACAGTCCGCAGACAGGGGGGTCTGACAGCAAACATGTTTGAAGCGAACGATGATTTACACTAACACAGGACAGCACTTCATGGAGCAATTTGGAACAAGCGTTCCTACGCCACACACACACAGCACTGACCACAAGTTCCACATCTGCAACTGAGGGCCCCGGCCCGCCCGCGCCGGCCTTCCAGGCCCCGCCTCCCCGTCGACGCTAGTCGACGCTAACCAACACCAAATCGGCAGTATCTCATCGACTCCCAGACTCTAATCGACGCTAGTCGACGCTAAAGCCAGAATTGCGAGGGTACGCAGAGCTCCCATGATTTGCTACCGAATGAGATGGTCTGGGCATTCCGCGGCCACACGAGGACTAAAAGTATAGCGCAGTGCAGGTCGAGGTGAGATGCCCTGAACACTCCGCGGCCACGCGAGACCTCCCTCGCCTGCCCCACATAAAAGTATAGCGCCGTGCTGGTCGAGGTCAGGTGCCCTGGGCACTCCGCGGGCGCACAAAGACATCCTATGCGCACTTGTCTGGGTGCTCCGCGGCCACACGAGACTTCCCTCGCCTGCCCCACATAAAAATACAGCGCCGTGCTGGTCGAGGTCAGGTGCCCTGGGCACTCCGCGGGCGCACAAGGACATCCTCTGCCCACCCAAGGAATCACACCGTGCATCCTCCATGATGTCATAGTGCGGCCAAGCGAATCAAACAACCCATCGGGCGCCCGGGTCGCTGGCTGCGGCCTGGCGGCATCGGCGGCGAAGGCGACACGCCGGGATTAGACGTCGACGTCGACATCGCCAACTTCCTGGTAGGGGGCTGCGACCGCCCCCCTGGGCATTTCTTGATCGCTTGGTCGCATTCGATTCTTGACCACCCCGATGCCCCGTCGTCCCTCCTTCTTTTTGGGCATCGAGCCGACCGAGCCCGCGGCTCGAGAAAAACTGTCGTCTGTGAAAGTAAGAGGCCTGCGCTATACAGCAAGCCACCTCGGAGAAGCAAACTGGCCGAAGCACTAGATCTGCCGTGCAGGGTATGCTGGAAGACCAGGCAGTCAGTAGCAGGAATAACAAATAATGAGAAGAAGAAGAAGAAGAAGAAGAAGAAGAAAAAGAAGAAGAAGAGGAGAAGCGGAAGCGGAAGCGGAGAGGAGCCCAGATGTGCATCCCCAACAAAGCACTTCCCTTCTTCGCGCCGCCAGCTCTTAATAATGACGAGCCACTTGGTCTGTGTGTGTGTGAACTGCCGATGGGTCCCCATCAAAACTTCTAGCTGTCGTGTGAGAACGAAGCATGCCACATCACCTCTGAAGCATAGAAAGGCATAAACATAAACTTTCGGAGGACCGCGTGGATTCTTGGATCGGCGCTGAACCCCCCTCTCTGGCGCGCGGAGCGCTGGCCAGGGGCAGCGCCGGAGACGCCGACAGGCAAGGGCGGCGCTGATCCGGGAAATCCGCTCGAACAGTTTATGGTTGTGCCGATTTGTTATTCGAACCTTGTTCTCGTCGCCCAGAATGTGCAAGCAATCCCCAGACGTTGCGCAGGAGATCTTCATCGTGCAGTCGTGGGATGTGGTCAGCAACCACAGGCCGTCCGACGAAAAAGCAGCGGACAGCACCCAGTCCCCGTGGCACTCCAGAGTGCGCAGGCAGTCCCCCGACCCAGCAGGCCAGATCTTGGCGGTGCCGTCCGCCGATGCAGTGAGCATGCGCTGGCCGTCTGGCGAGTAGACCGCAGACATTACCGCATCCCCGTGGTCATCTAGGGTGCGCAGGCAGTCGCCAGATGCAGCGGAGAACACCTTCGCGGTACCATCGCCAGATGCGGTCAGGATCTCGCGCCCGTCGGGCGAGAACCTGGCGGTCCACACCGAGTCGTTGTGGGCCGACAGGATGCGCAGGCGCTCTCCAGAGATAGCGGACCAGAGCACGGCCGTGTGATCGTGGGACGCCGTGAGCACAGCCTGACCGTCGCCGGAGAACGAGGCCGACAGGACCCAGTCCTCTGGGGAAACGCAAATAGAGAACCTCCTAGACGGGGTCGGAGCAGATGGTGTTGCGGATCGCGCCACATCGTCGATGTACCGGCGACGTCGGCGATGCATCGGCGCCGTCGGCGTGAAGAAAATCGGGTTCCATATCGAGCCGCATCGCCGATGTATCAACGATGCGGCGCGACCCTCCGACCCCATCTGCTCGGACCCCCTCTGGGACGCCTCAAGCACTTGCAGCAAAGGTACTGATCACGCTACTCCCTGGACCTCTCCCGGGATGCGTTCTGACCAGCACTTCGAGGCGAAACCATGGCGACGAGGGCCTCCCCTGAGAGGCCCGAACAGGAAGCAACGAAGGCAGGCCAGCGGTATCGGCACTTTTGCCTCCCCTGCGTCCTCGTGGCCCGCCAGCGTGAGCAGGCACGCCCCAAACTCGGCGCACCAGACCCTGGCAGTGCGATCCTCCGAGGCGGTGACCACCCGCCGGCCGTCGGGGGAGAACTCCGCGGACAGCACAGCCTCCGCGTGGCCCTCGAGGGTGAGGCGGCACTCGCCGGAGGCGGCGGACCAGAGCTTGGCCGTGCCGTCGTCGGACGCGGTGAGGACAGTCTCGCCTCACGAGCGACGGACATGTACGTAGCACCCCGCAGTTGCGGATACGAGTGAGGGGGCGGCGGGGACGTCGGCAGTCGGCGAGGCTCTGAAAAGGACGGGCGCAGGCGTCCAAATCTTGCAAGTTATACAACGAGCTCGCCGCAGGCACCGCTGTTCTTATGAAAAATGGGTGGGTCACGGGGTGGGTCGCGGGCGGGTCGCGGGCGAGGCGGGCAGGTCGCGGGCAGGTCGCGGGGTGGGTCGAGGGTGGGTCGCGGGTGTCGCGGGCGGGTCGCGGGGCGGGTCGCGGGGCGGGTCGCGGGGGAGACAACGACAACAAACGACAACAGCAAGAAGAAGTAACAACAGCAACACCACCAACAACACGATCACCAAAAACCCAACAAAAAACGATAACAAACACAACAACAGCAGCACCAATCATTTAAAGACTGTTCGCTCTTGTCTGATGTCACTCAACGTGTTCTTATGTGTTCTTCGTCTTCGGTCGTACTCCTTTTGGGGGTATGTCTTTCTTCCCTGCAAGCCGGACCCCGACAAGCGGCAGGGCAGACGCGGACCGTCGGCCTGGCCAGCGGCAGCGCAGATCGGCGGCAGCCCAACGCCAAGAGGGACGCACAGGTGACCGACCACGACGACGATGACGACGATGACGGCGACGGCGACGACGACGAGGGAAAGCGAGAGCGAAGGCGAAAACGACAACGGGGCCACGAAGGGCAGGAAGGGGGCCACGAAGGGCGACAATGGGGTCACGATAAGCATGCGTACGGGGCCACGAAGGGCGCGAACGAGCGGGGGCCACGAAGGGCAGATAATGCGGGGCCACAAAGTGCAACGACGGGGCCGCTGAAGGTAGCAACGGGGCCACGTAGGACAGCGAGGGGGCCGCAAAGGGCGACAGCGGGGCCACAAAGGGCAACACCAAACAACAACAGCAGCAACAACAGCAACAATCGTCTTAAGACTGTTCGCTTTTGTCTGCTCGAATGTCGTTCAACGTATATTCCCCAACCCTTTTTACACGCCCTCTTCGTCTTCGATCGTACCCTGTTTAGGGGGTGTATATTTTTCTTCCCTGCAGGCCGGGCCCCGGCAAGCGGCGGGGCGGCCGCGGACCGTCGGCCTGGCCAGCGGCAGCGCTGACGGGCGGGAGCCCGACCCCAAGAGGGACGGACAGGGGACCGATTACGACGACGATGACGACGACGACGACGACGACGACGACGATGACGGCGGCGGCGACGACGACGACGACGACGAAAGCGACAGCGAGGGCGAGAGCGACAGCGGGGCCACGAAGGGCAGGAGGAAGGCCACGAAAGGCGACAGCGGGGCCACGAAGAGCATGCGTATGGGGCCACGACGGGCGCGAACGAGCGGGGGCCACGAAGGGCAGATAATGCGGGGCCACAAAGTGCAACGACGGGGCCGCTGAAGGTAGCAACGGGGCCACGTAGGACAGCGAGGGGGCCGCAAAGGGCGACAGCGGGGCCACAAAGGGCATACGTAGATTGGGCCACGACGTGCGCGAACGAGCGGGGGCCACGAAGGGCATAAGTAGATTGGGCCGCAAAGGGCACGGACGGGGCCACTGAAGGCCCCAACGGGGCCACGAAAGGCAGCGAGCGGGCCACGAAGGGCGACAGCGGGGCCACGAAGCGCATGCATATCGGGCCACGACTGGCGCAAACGAGCAGGGGACACGAGGGGTATACATACACGGGGTCACGAAGTGCAGCGAGGCGGCCGCGAAGGACTGCCACGAGGCCACGAAGGGCAGCGAGGGGGGCCACGAAGGGGCGCAACGGGGCCACGAAGAGCAGCGAGGGGGCCACGAAGGGCTGCAACGGGGCCACGAAGGGCAGCGAGGGGGCTGAGACGGGCTGCATCAGGTCCACGAAGGGCAGCGAGGGGGCCAAGAAGGGCTGCAACAGGGCCATGAAGGGCAGCGAGTGGGCCACGAAGGGCTGCAAGGGGGACGCGAAACGCAGCGAGGGGGCCAAGAAGGGCTGCAAGGGGGACGCGAAGGGCAGAGAGGGGGCCACGAAGGGCTGCAACGGGGCCACGAAGGGCAGCGAGGGGGCCGCGAAGGGCTGCAACGGGCCCACGAAGGGCAGCGAGGGGGCCACGAAGGGCTGCAACGGGTCCACGAAAGGCAGCGAGATCCCGATTCATACATAAGCTGTGAGGGAACCCTACGCGTGAGCGACTCCTGGGTGCCTGAGTGTCGGGAGCGCGGCGCCTGAGAAAAGTCTTGGCATTCCAACGTAAGAACGCGATTCTTGAGTGAATTACATGCAAGTCCCCAGCGAGAGCGCGACTCCAGAGCGCCGAGAGAGCGAGTGCTGAATAAATTGTAAGGACAACACAAAAGAGAACGCGATTCATTAGTAAAGTGCGAGGACGTGTCAGGCGGGAGCGGGGGTTTTGGCTAAATTGTGAAGGAATATTTGGCGGGAGCCGTTGTTGTTGTAATCCGGGGGCCAGCAACCCAGTTTGAGCCCAATAAGTCTCCCTGATAAAAAAAACAGGGCGCGAACCCCGAGGGGAGCACTTCAATTGAAAAAACACAACGGTCACTGGAGGGGGGGTCAACAACAATTATTCTCCAGTAGTGAGAATGCAACAACAACAACAGCAAGAACAACAGCATCAACAACATCCACAACCACAACAAAGAAGCAACACCAACAACAGCAACAACAACAGCAACAACAACAGCAACAACAACAGCAGCAACAACCACCACCACAGCAAACAACAACAGCAACAACAGCAGCAACAATCATCTTAAGACTGTTCGCTCGTGTATTTCAAAAATCCTTTTTATCCGCCCTCTTCGTCTTCGATCGTACCCTTTTGGGGGTATATTTTTCTTCCCTGCGGGCCCCGGCAAGCGGCGGGGCGGCCGCGGACCGTCGGTCTGGCCAGCGGCAGCGCTGATCGGCGGGAACACGACCCCAAGAGGGACGGACAGAGGACCGACCACGACGATGACGACGACGACGACGAGGACGACGACGACGACGACGACGAGAGAAAGCGAGAGCGACAGCGGGGCCACGAAGGGCAGGAGGAAGGCCACGAAGACACCGGGGCCACGAAGGGCATGCGTATGGGGCCACGAAGGGCGCGAACGAGCGGGGGCCACGAAGGGCAGACAATGCGGGGCCACAAAGTGCAACGACGGGGCCGCTGAAGGTAGCAACGGGGCCACGTAGGACAGCGAGGGGGCCACAAAGGGCGACAGCAGGGCCACAAAGGACATGCATATGAGGCCACGAAGGGCGCGAACGAGCGGGGGCCACGAAGGGCATACGTAGATTGGGCCGCAAAGGGCACCGACGGGGCCACTGAAGGCAGCAACGGGGACACAAAGGGCAGCGAGGGGGCCACGAAGGGCGACAGCGGGACTACGAAGCGCGTGCATATGGGGCCACGAAGGGCGCGAACGAGCGGGGGCCACGAAGGGCATACGTAGATTGGGCCACGAAGGGCAGCAAGGCGGCCACGAAGGGCTGCAACGGGGCCACGAAGGGCAGCGAGGGGGCCAAGAAGTTGCGCAAAGGGGCCACGAAGGGCAGCGAGGGGGCCAAGAAGGGCTGCAAGGGGGAAGCGAATGGCAGCAAGGGGGCCACGAAGGGCTGCAACGGGTCCACGAAGGGCAGCAAGGGGGCCAAGAAGGGCTGCAACATGCCCACGAAGGGCAGCGAGGGGGCCAAGAAGGGCTGCAACAGGGCCACGAAGGGCAGCGAGGGGGCCACGAAGGGTAGCGAGGGGTCCACGAAGGGCAGCTAGGGGGCCAAGAAGGGCATACATGTATGGGGTCTCGAAGGGCAGCGAGGGGGCCACGAAGGGCTGCAACGGGTCCACGAAGGGCAGCGAGACCCCGATTCCTAAGTAAGCTGTGAGGGAATCCTAAGCGTGAGCGCGACTCCTGGGTGCCTGAGTGTCAGGAGCGCGGCGCTGGACTAAGTTGCGGGGAGTTCCAACGCAAGGGCGCGATTCTTGGGTGAATTGCAAGTCTCCAGCGACAGCGCGGCTCCACAGCGCCGAGAGAGCGAGTGCTAAATTGTAAGGAGGTCTCAGGCGGGAGCCGATGTTGTCGAGTTTGAGCCGAGTTACCTTCCATGATAAATAAACAGGGTGCGAGCCCCGGGGGAAGCACTTCAATTGAAAAACATAGTGGTCACCATGGGGAAATCAACAATACTTATTGTTCAGTAGTGAGAGTTCAACAGCACCAGAACCAGCATCAGCACCAGAACCAGCAGCAGCAGTAACAACAACTACAGCCAACAACAACAACAATAACAACAGCAACAACGACACCAACAACAACAGCAGCAACAACACCAGCACCACCACCACCACCAACAACAACAATCACTTTAAGACTGTTCGCTCCTATCTGCTCCCGTGCCAACGAATACGTATATCCCAAATCCTCGGTACCCGCCCTCGTCGTCTTCGATCGTACCTCCTTCGGGGCATATTTGCCTTACCTGCCACGTGCATTCAGTGCAGCCCCTAAAACAAGGGAAGAGAAGACGGTTGGAAGGAGGAGGGAGAAGAATGGAGCACGAGAGAAATTAGCAGGATGGGGGCAAGGAGCAGAAAACATGTTGTAGAACCAGACGGGCAGATCGGGTGGGCGAAGGCGGGCCCAGGCGACCAGGTCGAGCAGGCGCGTTGCTGAAGCGTCGGTTCGGCATGAAGCGCGAGGAAGTCTCGAGCGATAGACCGATTCCCAAGTAAATCGTGGGAAAAGCCACAGCGAGAGCGTGATTCCTGAGCGCCGAGGGCGCATCGTCTGAATAGATTGCGAACAAGTCCCACGCGAGAGCGCGATGCGTACATGAATTGTGAGGACGTCTCGCGCGAGAGCGCGACTTGGGAATACATTGTGTCGAAATATTAGGCGGGAGACGATGTTGTTGTAAACCGGGGGCCAGGGGCCCAGTTTGAGCCCCGTGACTTCCCCTGATAAAAACAAAACGGCCTGCGAGCCCTGGGGGGAATTGAAAAAACACGGTTGGTCACGGGAGGGGGGGATCCACAATGCTTTTTCTGCAGTGGTGAGACTTCAACCATCCGCGCCGCAGAACCTCACTCCAGCCACGCGCCCAGGGACAGTGAAGGACCGTCTGGCGCCCTCACTCTGATCTGTAGCCACGCCCCCGCGGCATGGGCTCGCGCGATGGACCTGGATACGCGGCGGCAGGGACGCGTTTGCGCGCGGGGCACCCGCGACAAGCGCGCCCCGTCTCCGCGGGGTCGCGGCCCGGGGGCCCGACCCGCGGGGCCGTGGCTATGCGGCCACGTTTTCTCCGCCCACGGTCGCCGTCGGGCGAGAACTCCGCGCGCAGGAGGCATCCCTTGCTGTGCTCCAGGGTGCGCTGGCACGTCCAGCCCCCGGACGGGGCGGCGGCCCAGATCTTCGCCTCGCCGCTCTGGCACGCGGACACCACACGCGTTCGCACGCGCACGACGCTCAGGACCGCACCGCCGTCGGCCCCGATGTCGGCGAGGGTCAGGCCTCCGCGCAGCTCCGTCGGCCCCAGGAAGACGCGCTTCCTGCAGGCGGCGAGGGCGCCCTCGTCGGCGATGGCCGCCAGGACGTCGGGCAACTGCCACGCAGGGCTTGCGTTCAGTGTCTTCAGCCGGCTGCCGGCGAGAGTGACGACATCTAGGGGGATCCGGGCCGCGCAAGCGCTCCCAATGCACATGGACACAAACCGACTGGCGTGCAGCTTGCTCGAGACTCCCTTGAGCTTGAGCCTAGATGGCTGCGGGGATCTGGTGCACTGCCCGTCCAGGGCACGCAATGGCGTCGCCTTCGAAGGATGCAGCGGGGGAGGAGGGAACAGCGGAGATCAACGCCCCCTTGACGGGGACTCCACCGTCGGGCCTTCTGGCCAGCGACCTGGCGGGCCCAGCCCTTCCCGTTGCCCTCAACGCTGCGATGCCCGAGAGAAGCCCTAAAACGGCAACCGTCGCCGGGTTTCCCAAGTGCGGCAGGTTCGTGTCTTGGCGACCCCGCCGTTGGACTCTGGCACCGCACGGATCGTTCAACCTTGAACGATTATGGGACACTGGCGGCAAAAAACATAAAACATGTAGTTTTGGAGGTGTGCGCGGATTCCTGGGATCCGCGCTGGACTCCCCTCCCTGGCGCGCGGAGCGCGCCAGGGGCGGCGCCGGAGGCGTCGCCAGGGGGCTCCAGCGCCGATCCGAGGCATCCGCGCGGACCTCCAAAAGGCTACAGTCGGACTTGATTGCACAGTACACGCGCGAGGACCCAAGACCCTTCCGAGGACCACGTTGCCATAGGAATGCAGGAGGCATGGGTCGCGAGACGCAGGAAACAAGAGTACCCTCTGTTTAGACAGGGTCGACCCACACATCAGGGCCAACTGCATGTGTCTGTCATTGATCGTTCCCCTCGGGCGGGCGGTAGTGGGGGGTGACCCACATGAAAGGTGAAGAAAAAAGACACAGAAGGGGCCCTTGCCCACTTTGGGCACCAGCAGACTCCAAAAGGGGCCCTGAAGGGCCCCTGCAAGGCTCTTTTGTTCAGCCCCCCCACTTGGGTCGACCCCCGCTGCCGGCCGCCCGATCCCCGATGGAGCGCCCGCACCGGGGCCGCCGCTGCGCCGGCATGGCAGGAGCCTGCCGTGCCCGTCCGCGAAAATATACACCCCCTGCGCGCGCCGCCGAAGGGCGTGCGACGCAGGGCTCGAGCTGAAGAGTGCTCTTCGCTCTCGCTCTGAGTTTCCTACTCCTTCCTCCTGCCTTCCTTCTGCAGAGGCCTCCCACAGGGGCGATTTCGGAAATCTGGGACCTCAAACTGTTTTTTCATCTCTTGGGGGCGCATTCTTTACTTCCGCCGCCTTCCGCCGAGCTTCCACCATTCCGCCGGCGCAGGCGTCCTCGTTTTACTTCCGCCGGCCTTCCGCCGCCCTTCCGCAGCCTTCCGCGGCGGAAGAGATGACAACTCTTTCTACCCTCGAAAGCTAGGCCCTTCTTGGAACCCCTCACGAAGGGCACGAGCAGATGGGGTCTGGAGATCACGCCGCATCACCAATGCATCACCGATGCATCGGTGACACACTGGCAGCGTCGGCGATGCATCGGCGACGTCGGCGCGGAGACGATCGGGCTCCACATCGAGCCTCAAGTCGGGCGTGCCCTCCTACAGGCGGATTTTGGGCGAAACTTCAAAGATAATCAAAACGTGCCCCCCCAAAGAACCAAAAATTGTCGAACAATCGTCCCCCGTCTATTTTTGCTTTATGTTTGATGAGTGTTCCCCCTGCAGACGGACACGCCCGACTTACCACTGGCAGCGTCGGCGATGCATCGGCGACGTCGGCGCGGAGACGATCGGGCTCCACATCGAACCCTGGGCCCCCTCCTCGGGAACGCTCCGGCGGCCCCCGGCGGCCCCAGGTCGCTCGTGTTCCGGGCGGGCGCGGGGAGCCCGCCACGCGCGCGCGCGAGCGCGCCAGGGCATGGGGGCGGATCTCTCTCTCGTCGGGGTGGGGGGGAGGAGGATTGGATTTGACACGTCGCATCGCAGAGGCTAGGGGCTAGGACTAGCAGCGCAAAGGGCAAGGCTCCAGAGAGCCCAACCCCAGAAGGAAGGGCTCCCCAGAGACTAACCCTCCACGCCACCAGTCGAAGCCAAGGAACCACAACAGTCCACTGCGCTGATTAAATCGGCAAGAGGACCAGCTCGTCGAGCGGCACATCCCTTCTCATATGGTTGGGGCGGATGCCTCTGAAGATTCTGCTTTGTTGCTCCTCAGGTGGGCCGAGGAAGGCCCGCTTTTGCAGGCTTTCCAAGGCCCCCAATTCTCACGCCCCCGCTGACACCTCCACAGTCCATACAGTAGAACAGCGTCACTCCATCAGGAGTGCCTGTGACATGAATTTTGTGGCCCTGGGTCTCCTGCACCAGGGCGTTGACCACGGGATCGGAACCGAGGCAGTCCGCAGCAGGCTCGGGCGGGTCGGGAGGAACACGAATCAAGCACCTGCGGCAAGCCCTTTTGCCGCGAATCCATCTGCATTGGTGGCCCTCACCTCCTCAGTCAAGGGGCGCGACCAATAGCCTTCCCAGACAAGAGGAGGAGGAGGAGGAGGAGGAGGAGGAGGAGGAGGAGGAGGAGGAGGAGGAGGACGAGGAGGAGGAGGAGAAGGAGGAGGAGGAGGAGGAGGAGGAGGAGGACCCCCCGGGGAGAGAGCTGCAACTCCTAAGCCAGCCACGCCCAGCACCTCGGCTGCGGCGCCGGCGGAAGCGGCACTGCCTCCGGCATTGGCCTTGCGTCTGGCGGTGGCGCCATCGGCGCCAGCAGTGGCGCCGGCGCCGGCGGCGCGGGAAGCGCCTGCCCTGCCCAGCCTCTGCCTAGGTCTGGTTGGCGCAAGCTGGGACCATAGCAAACGCGCTTTTGCTACACAAGCCAGAAACTTCTCTCAACCGCTGGTCTCCAGGCCAAAATCGCGAGGGTCTGCAATGGGTCATTGCCGCCGCCTTCGCTGAGACATCAGCCAAGTGGTTGCCTTTAGCCTTTAGCGTTGTACCTGTCACTCGAGAAACGCTCAAAGCTGTCAGCATTCAAAATGGCCTTTCACTTTCGTAAGAGCTACTGCATTTCTTTAGGGAGGTGGCTCAAGGCACGTAGAACAGGTCCAGCATGATAAGATCGTCTAGCAGAATCACTTCGAAGGCTTTTATACTAGCAACTACGAGCCCGCGCAGAGCTCGAAAGCCGAGCGCGCGTGCTTACAGCCAGCCAAGAAAGCGGCATGTTCCGCAGCAGGGCTTGTCTGAGGCAAATTGGAACCAACTCTCCAAGACAAAGCAGCGAAGGGCTCCCCGCCATTCTGAAGACACACGCAAGCCCAGCCAGCATGTTGGTGGATTTTGTGACCTTTTTACAGCACGAGCCATCGCGATGGCATACTTTGCCCTTGAACGCTTCCGAGAGTCAAATCAAGGTTTACACAACGGTCTCAAGAGACGCTCAGGAACAAGCTGACAACAAAGCATGAGAGGATTCTTCTTATCTTCGCTGCATATTATCGCAGACGCCCCATCCGTCAAGAAATCATATCTTACAGCCTGCGTCGCAGAACACCAAAAAACGATGATGGAGGTCATCCCGAGGGCGAGGACAAGTGGGGCAGTATACATCTTATACCATGTAGCCCACCTGGGCCAATCTCCACTTGGACCAATAGATTTGCGTGGTAAGCGCCCTCAGCATGGCACGTTCAGGCTGCGACGACACACTGCTTGGAGAGAGAAGCTGCTTGCGCGCTGCGACGTCCAAGGTCCCACCTGGGTGGCCTGACTTCATAGCAGCCTTCGGAGACAACATCTGCATCCAAGCTGCCCGAAGACCACAGGGCACTTTAGCAGGGGAGGTCCCGGTTAGAACTACTTCCTGGCGCAGGTGGTCCTCCCCGACAACGGGGCCGATGAACTTCCAATACGCCCTCTGAAGAGAAACAACTGCCGCCCCAAAAAATCCTTTTCACCACGGGCAGGGCAGGCTGTCTCAGCCGTGGCAACGAGGCTTCAGATCCAGGACTCGTCGTGGCCTTCCAAGCCAGGTTAGTCCTGGTGATCGCGGGTCCCAGCGCCAGGCGACACGCGGGGACCTGGTGGATGAGCAGGGTGAAAGTCCTGGACCTGGATGGACACGCGCTACCTAGGGTCTGCAAGAAGAAAATCTGTGCTGGCGCAACTTCCCGGGCGTCCAACCCCACCACCTCAGCCCCATAGTACCCAGACTGCTGGAGCCCGCCGAGGTACAGCCGCTGCATGTCTGTGCCTCCCTTCCTCACTGCAGCTAATCGTCTCTTGCGGCGCTGGAGCTTAGTGATGCGACTTTTTCTGACAAAACAGTGGCCCATGCCCTGCATCTGGGCTGGCCACCAGTGGGTGAACTCCTAGATTAGCTGCCGAGCGATCTTTAGCAGTGCATCATGCTTACCCATTGCTTTAGCCATGTCCTTGCGAAGTGAGTCAGAGGTGGCTACAACAGCGAACTTGGAGAGAGCAGCTTCACACCTCATCTTGGAAGGCCTCCATGACCTGCTCCGAGTCCTGGTACAGGATCATCCAGCCATCGATGAAGAGATGCAGATCAGCGCCAACCACCCTGCTGCAGAGAGTAGCCACCGGATCCTGCGAGCACACCTGCGCAGAGCACGCGGCGAAGGGAGAGCCTGCCAACGCCCCCTGCGCGTGCAAGGGCCCCAGGGCAGACCCGTCTAGCAGAAAGAACCTCTTAGCCCGATGCACGTTGCACGCTACTGCTGGAATCTGCAAGTCGAAGCCTGTAGCCTCTGCTCTAGTCCAAAGCAAACGAGGTCACTGTGAACGTATAAACTGTTCATGCCGCACAGCACAACCGAGGCGTGAAAACTCCTGGTTAGTCGAGCTAGCCAATTCACCACGAACATTCTGCACGAAAGCGAATGCCAAGATCGAGGCGCCTTTCTGATGGCAGAGGCTTCTACGTCGATGCGTGCGTTTCCACGAGCTGGCTATAACCTGTCGAAGACTGCCGAACACCCGTTACATTACAGCGACACGCAACGCCCGATGCCACGTAAGTGGACCTGGCCTGGCTTGTGCTTCGGGGTAACACGAGTCACCGCTGCCTGCAAGACCGAGCGGAAGTAACCGCGCTGATCAATGCACCTGAGAAGCCTAGCAACCGAGCTGAACTGCTGATCCGAATGCGTCAGCAAATGTCATCGAATGCATCATTTGCCTGGGGGGCGCCTGAGCTGAAAACCGAACAGGCCCCTTTCCAGAGCTGCTCTAGCCCATCCGCCTCCGCCCTGAGAGTGCGCGCGGGCCCCCCTGTCCACAGGCCCGAGCACTGCAGCGCCTTCCCAGGCTTCCAGGCGACCCTCCCCTTAGTAAACTTGCGCGTCCAAGAGAGACTTCAACTTCTTTGGCTAACTATCCGCTCTATCCAGGGCTTTAGGGAACTCTGGGAATGCGTTGAACTTTCGGCCTTCACTGCGGGCCCCAGGCCCCATCAGGAAAGCCTCGAGAACGCTTCTAACCACTTTCGCGCTCAGGGCCTGCCGGCCCAAGTCCCAAAGCGTCGCTGCCGACAGAAAAAAAGACACATGACAGTGGGCGCCGATCTGAACTCCGAAGGACAGGCTTCCGAGTCTTCCAACGATGTCCAGAGCGCACCGCCCTGGTGGAGACTACCGGCAACCGCGCGGACCCACTTCGCAATCCAACGCAACGGCGCAAGATGCGACTTCCAAGACAGCCTTCAGCTCTCGACACGAATATTCGGAGGGACGCGAACAACCCTAACTCGACGCGCCCTCTAAGAGACTGTCTTCAAGGGGGTCAGTCATGCTGCCAATGGTGTGCTCGAGTTCCATGGCAAGGCTACCGCGCAGCATCCAGCGCAGCTTGGCGAGCCTCGAAACTGGAACGATCAGGGACGCTGCTCAAGTCCCGTACACAACCACGCGCCTCTTCAAGCTTCCAAGCCTGGTCTTCTAGAACCTCCCGAAGGAAAGTCTCTAGAGACGCACCTGAGGGCCTGGCGCGAGAAATACGCTGACACTCGCACAAAAACAAGGATCGCGCGCCGCTCATCCGACCGCACATGCGGAGGCACTGGGCGCCGCGAGGAGATGGAGCGCGTCGTCGACAGACGACGCGGTGACAACGCCAGCAAGCACGTGAGGAAGCACATAGAAATCTACGACAGTCTTCGACCCGGGCTCTATGCAAGCCGGATTCCGAGGCACTGCGGCGCCCATGCAGCTCTAACCAAGAACTCAGATGATTCCTACCTGCGAGCTTGCATGTCCCAATCTCCTGCAACAGACACCGGTAGCTGAACCTGTTCTTGAAGCGTAGCAATGCGTCCAAGAACGCTAACTTCGTGTTCCAGCCTACATTAGCCAGCATGTCAAGCGAAATCAGGCTAGGCTTGGGCAGCCCAGGGATTTTAACCCCGAGAGCACATCTTCTATGCGGCCTTGAAAATTCCATCGGCACAGGACTTGCACCAATGTTGCGACCAGCTCGAATCAAAATTGCAGCGCCACCAGGAGGCAGTCCAGAATCACGAGCAGCAACCTTCGTAAAGAAATCAAGCCAACCACGAGCGGGACACCACTCCATAGCAGAGCGGATTCCTTCAGCATCTTCCAACCGCGTTTCCTGAAGGAGTAAAATTGAGGCCTCAGGAACCTGACAACGACCAGATTCACGGTCATATTTCGTCATGAACGTAGCAAACGAATTAGCGTCACTTTCAGGGCCCACCCTTGGACCGAAGTCTGTCAAATCTCAAAGGAAGACTCTGCCCCTGAAACAGCGACCTCCCCCGCCCGGTGGCTCGGCGGGCGGCTCGATGGCCGGGGCAGCGGCGGGGGCGGCTGGAGGCCTGCCCTTTCCTTGCTCGCCTCTGCCCCGGGGTCCTGCTGACGAAGCTGAACCCGATCCGTGCGGAGCGCTGCGTGTGCACCCACTTGCCAGAAGTACGGGCTGAAATCCTGTGCCGAGAGACTTGGCACGCTGGGGTCTAGTCAAAGTTAACACCTTGCGCGAATGTCTGGACATTATTGGCGACGGGCTTCCATTATGTCGTGGGCGTGGCCGAGATCTTCACCAATTCCCTTTTCATCTCTTCCAGGCATCTCCTCATCCGAATCCAAAACCTCATGGGCTGGACTCCAAGTCACCTTGCTGCTCTTTGGGGTAATCTTGTTTTCGCTCCTTCAGGGCCCTTGGCACCAACAAAATCTTGTTCTTCACTCCTCTCTTTGAATAGCTGGGCGAGAATCCCCTCCAAAGCCGAGGAACCTGCATCCGACTGCTGCTTGCCCTGGGCGGAGAGCGTGGCAAACTCATGCGTCAACGCGCCCTTCCCTCCTGCAGTCCAATGCGGGACGCCCTCCGGCTCCCGATGCTTGGGCTGAATCGTCATGGAAGCTAGCTGGGCGCTTAAGCTGTCCATCTGGGCTTTGGAATCCTTCATCTGAACCGAGGCGGCCACATTTTTGGTGACCATTTCAGCTGCTTGGGTTTCCAAAGCTACAACAAACATTTCCATGGCTGTGTTCACGAGGTTCTTCTGATGTTGGATCTGGGCCGAGAGACTCTGAGCTTTCTGTTCGGGGGTGCGATTATGGAAAACCTTCTCTTTAGCCGACTTTACTGCTTCATGGACTTCTGCAAGACGAGTGTGATTCTGGTCCACTCCCCAACCTTTCAATAAAACTCGACCAGGTGCTGTGCCATCAACAACTCTAGAGATGACTGATCTGCTTGAGGCGAGGCTGATCTGCTTGAGGCAGAGGACAAAGCGGAATCGATTCACGCCGCCAAAGGGGTTTGCTTCCACCACCTGCTGCTCCTTCCGAAACTGCTGCTCCTACTCCACGTCCTTCATCTGGTCTTCTACCCTTGGCCTGTCCTTCCGGATCGCCCCACCCGCGCCAGCCGCTCTCTTCCACACCTGGCTGCTTGGTGCCGCACAGGGCACAGAACGGCTTGCGGCGGCTGGTCCAGGCCCGACCTGAGTAGGCGGCGCTGGGGCACAATATATAAGGCATGGCACGACGCCTCCAAGAAGACATGGGGGCGAGAGGACTGGGGTGCGTCGGGCGCGCTGGGAGACTGACTGTTCTGACCTGCTGGGCAAACAGCAGGCCGCACAGAAGCGGGTTGAATCAACCACCTTGATCCAGGATGAGCCAGAATGGCCACGGTGGGGGGGAGGAGGAGGGGTGGGGGAGGGGGAGGAGGAGGAGGAGGAGGAGGAGGAGGAGGAGGAGGAGGAGGAGGAGAAAGGAGGACGAGGAGGAGGAGGAGGAGGCGGAGGAGGAGGAGGAGGCGGAGGAGGAGGAGGAGCCGTCCAGCTTCCCTCAGCTGGTTGCCTCAGCTTCCGGGCTTATCATACAGGGAACATGTAGTGGCATGAGCCCGAAAAGCTCGGAGGTCCGCGCGGATTATTCGGATCGGTGCTGCCCCCTGGCTGCGCCTCTGGTGACCAAGAAATCCTCGCGGGTAAAGTTTACGGTTACGGTCCATGTTATGCAATGCCGTGCCCTCTTCTTCGACATTTACCTCTCGCCTCATCTTGCTTCTCCTGGCCCCTCATCTCTCCGAACTTGCGTCCGCCCGAGGGCTCTTTTGAGCCAGGACATGGGCGGGGGCCTCTCTCGTCGGGGTGTGTGGGGGGGGGGGAAGGCCAGGGAGGTGTCCACCGTCCAGGTTCCCCCTTCTGGTTGCTTCATCTTGAGGAGGAAAAAAACAACGGCATAACAATAAAGTGTTGACAACGGCATAACAATAAACTGTTGGAGCTCCGCGCATCTACGTTGGGCCCCCCTCCCGCGCTCCTCGCGCCAGGGGCGTCGCCAGAAGCGCCGCCAAGAGCGGCACAGCGCAGATCCAATACATCCGGGCGGACCTGCAACAATTGATTCACTTGTTTCGTCTTCGAATCTTCCTCTTTTTTCATCACTCTCTTCTCATCTTCTCTCTCCTGGCACTTCACCTCTCTAAGCTTGGGTCCGCCCGAGGGCCATTGGATCAGGGCGCTGGGAAGGTAGAAGGGCGATGCCTCCCACTCCCGATCCGATCGACGAAGCGACCCTTGACCGATAGCAGAGAAGCGGGTGGGAGGGACGGAGGCCTCCTCCTCCTCCTCCTCCCTCCTCCTCCCTCCTCCTCCTTCCTTCTTGCTCCTCCTCCTCCTCCCTCCTCCTCCTCCTCCTCCTCCTCCTCCTCCTCCCTCCTCCTCCGCCTGCTCCTCCTCCCCCCCTCCGCTGGAACCCCTGGGGCGGGCAGGCGCGGACCGCCGCTGCCGCCCCGAAGCGCCCCCCAAGCCATGCCGGGGCATGGCTTGGGGGGCGCTTCGGGGCCCCTCCTCCCTCCTCCCTCCTCCTCCTCCCTCCTCCTCCTCCTCCCTCCTCCTCCTCCTCCTCCTCCTCCTCCCCCTCCTCCTCTCCTCCTCCTCCCTCCTCCTCCCTCCTCCTCCTCCCTCCTCCTCCTCCTCCTCCTCCTCCTCCTCCTCCTCCTCCTCTGGGCGGGCTCGCGCCGATCCCAGATCGTCAGCGGGAAGAAGAAGATGCGCAGGAACGCGCCCGGCCGGATCGGGTTCGTCTGCGTCTGCGGGTACGCGCGGAACTCGAGGTTCGTGCCTCGAGAGGGGGGGGCGCCTTGGTTTCCGTAGCAGCCTTCGTGTGCTTCGATGCTGTCCCTGCTACCTTGCGAGCGTGCCGTTCGCATCACTGACCACATGACAAAGACTGTGAACCTGATCCGGAACCACAATCGAAAGAGATGAGGGCCGATTCTGTATCATGGAACACTTTCCCGCATAGGCCGAAGCAGCGACCCTCGGGGAGGGAGGAGGGGAGGAGAAGTGTTTCGTTCTTTCTGGGCACGACCTCCTCCTCCTCCTCGTCCTCCTCCGACTCGTCCTCCTCTGCTCCTCCTCCTCCTCCTTTTTCTTTTCCTCCTCCTCCTCATCCTCGTCGTCCTCCTCCTCCTCCTCGTCCTTCTCCTCCTCGCACGACTGGATCCGCCTCGAAGTCCAAGTCGAGAAGCGCTCCGGAAGGGCATGAGGGTCGGTGCGGGCGGCGACAGCTGGTTTTCAGTGCGGCAACCGCTACAACCCCAATAAGGACCGTCTTGGATCTCACCCTCGGTCTCGAGGAAACATTTGCCCAAACCGATTTGCCACCGGACTGGCCTCCGTCTGCACGCAGAGCAAGCTAGGGGAATCGAGAACGTCTGGAGAGCTGCCAAGGGCGACATGACCCTACGCATAACTTGTCTGATCAAAGGCAGTGTGTGCAAGAGAGAAGAGACAGTGCGCGCCCGGTCTAGGGCAAAGATGAGAGTGGGGACGAGCAAGTCCCCATGACATGTTCAATGCGCAGCGGACGTGTTTCGCTGCCAACATGAAAATTGTGTCGCTTACGGCGCAAAATGCGTGGCAGGAATGGGACGGGGCGCCCAGACGTGCTAAGTGCTGGTTTCGGTTCTCATCGGAGTGGCTCGGGCCCGTCTCGCGCCGAGTGAGCGCGTCATCAGAATGCTTCGGTAGAGTCCTCCTCTCTCGTCATGCGCTCTCCTCCTCCGTCCTCCTCCTCCTGCTGACCCTCCTCCTCCTCCTCCTCCTCCTCCTCCTCCTCCTCCTCCTCTTCCTCTCCTCCTCCTTACTCCGTATTAGTAATCCTTATACTCTGCCACCTGGCCGGTCGATGCCCAGTCAAAGCGGGGGGTCAATCCTTCCTGTTCAAAACATGCACAGACGACATGTTTGCTGTCAACATGGACATTGCGTCGCTGACGTTGCAATATGTGTGGCAGAAAAGGGACAGGGCGTACATCCCGCGCGAAAGGGCGGAATGACGCTCACGCACCGGCGTCGCGCTCATTTACCAGACGATTGGAATCCCGATGTGGAGCGGCTCACATCTTCCGCGCGCCACTTCGTCGACGAGGGGGCGAAACACCATATAAATCTCCCCTTGGCGCCGCGCAGGAGTTCGTTTGAAAGTGGCGTTCCCGCCTCAGCGAGGCGCACCTTTCTCACCCGCGGCATGTTCGGCCCCGCGACAAACGGGCAGCCGTTCGCCCTCGCCTGAGCTCCACGCGCACTTCGCTCGGAGCTGGCGCTCCCACGCGGGCGCGGCGCAGAGCGCCTCTCTGCGCTTCGGCGAGCGAGCCATGGTGGCTCGCTCGCCGAATCGCAGACAGGCGGCAGCGACAGCGGGACCGCGGGAGAGCGGGTGAACTGCTGCCCGCGCCCAACCTCCGCGCAGCCTGCGAGCCAAAGCGGCAGTGCTGCGCCAGCGCGGCGCGTGCCCCGTCTCCGCCGCGCCTGCTGGAAGCGTTTTTTGCCGCTCCCGCCCCGGCGCGGCCCGCGCAGCTCGCCCTTCGCCGAGGAGGTCGTCGGCGTCGGGGGCGTCGGGGCCGCACGCGAGCGCCCGTCCGGTCGCTGGGTGGAGAGGCGTTCAAATCTCGATCTCAGACTGCACCACAAATTCTTTATGTTTGGTCTTGTTTTTGTTATTATTATGATTAGTATTACTATTATTATTATGATGATTATGATGTTTCGTATTATTATTAGTAGTATTATTATTAAAATTATTACTAGTAGTAGTATTATTGTGATTATTTTGATTATTATGATTATTATGATTAGTATTACTAGTATTATTACAATTATTATTAGTATTAGTAGTAGTAGTAGTAGAAGTAGTAGTAGTAGTAGTAGTAGTAGTAGTAGTAGTAGTAGTAGTCGTAGTAGTAGTAGTAGTAGTAGTAGTAGAAGTAGTAGTAGTAGTAGTCGTAGTCGTAGTAGTAGTAGTAGTAGTAGTAGTAGTAGTAGTAGTAGTAGTAAGTAGTAGTTATTAATAGTATTACTTATATTCGTATTAGTATTATTATTACTACTACTATTATTAATATTAGTATTATTACTATTGTTGCTTTTGTTTTTACACAAGAAATAGGCTGCACCACAGCTCTTGCTTAGGATGCGGATGGTGGGAACGGGCGGGGCCCTCCGACTCGCTGGACCTGGCCAGCACGACCTCCCTCCTCCGCCTCCCTCCTCCCTCCTCCTCCTCCTCCCCTCCTCCTCCTCCTGCTCCTCCTCCTCCCTCCTCCTCCTCCTCCTCGCCATCCTGCTCCTCCCTCCTCCTCCGCCTCCTCCTCCTCCTCCTGCTCCTCCGCCTCCTCCTCCTCCTCCTCCTCCTCCTCCTCCTCCTCCTCCTCCTCCTCTCCTCGCCATCCTCCGCCCCCCCCCCCCTCCCCATGCTTCGTCGTCCCCTGCCCCTTCTCCTCCCCGCCCCGATCCCGCCTGCGAACGACTCGGCGCCGAAGGTGGCCGTCGACTCCTCCAGCTCGTAGGGGCTGTCGACGGTGACGCCGCGCTTGGCGCTGCCCAGCGGGGACATGTCCACGCTCGGCGCGGGAGGCACGGGGGAAAGGGGGGTTATCCTTTCCTCCACCCTCGACCGACGTCCAAGACGGGCCCACGAAGACCCAATGTCAGAAAGACTGGCCGCCCTGACGATTCCTCATCTAAGCTTTGCCCAGGGTTTCGGGCCAAATCAGCGAGGTCCGGGGGGTCGACAGCTCGGAGGGCAAGGCCTGGCGACAGTCAGAGCTCAAGAACGTCTAGCTGCTGCCAAGCGCTGGGCGGAAACTTGGCGGCCAGTCGCGTAGTCTAGGAACTCAAGCCGGCGGCAGCATCTCTGGCCCCGTGCCCACATGGACCTTCTTTCGCGACCCTCGAGGGTTGAGAAAAAAGGTTCGTGGGCGACTTCGGTCAGTTCTTTGGGTGCTTCGCCCTCGCTGTGCACTGTGCATCCGGGGGCCCTTGGGAGGCTCCCAGGGGCCTCCAGGGAGCACCGGGGGCCAGGATCCGGGGGCGCAGGTGCAACGCACCAGGGAGGAGGATGGAGTGTTCCTCCTCCTCTTCCGCCTCCTCCTCCTCCTTCCTGTCCCTTCTCCTCCTTCTCTCTTGTCCTCCTCCCTTCCCCCCCCCTCTTCCTCATCCTCTTCCTCCTTCTTCCTCCTCATCATCCACCTCCTCCCTCTCCACCCACGTTCCGGCTTCGGTTCTGAATCGCCCCCCCGCGATGTAAGATGTCCCAGAAAGTCGTGTAGGGTTTAAATGGGCAGATGTGGGACTCCTGCGCGGAACCATGTATCACGTCCCTCCTCCTCCTCCTCCTCCTCCTCCTCCTCCTCCTCCTCCTCACCACCACCACCACCACCACCACCACCACCACCACCACCACCACCACCACCACCATCATCATCATCATCATCATCATCATCATCATCATCATCATCATCATCATCATCATCATCATCATTTGCCTCCTCTGTCTTCGTCCTCCTCCTCCGCATCATCATCATCATCATCATCATCATCATCATCATCATCATCATCATCATCAGCACCATCATCATCAGCATCATCATCATCATCACCATCATCATCATCCACATCCTCATCCCAGTCGGATCCCCCTTTCATGGCGGGGTCAGTGAACGCCATTGGGAAAACAAACAAACAAACAAGCAAACAGACATTGGGGATTTACCTGGGGAAACCATAGGGCAACAACAAAAACTTGGGGACTTGCTGGAGGTGTTGGGGTAGGGGGGGGGGGGCGGTTGGCGGGGGAGACCAGCAAGTTCCCCAGGATTGTTCTACATGTGTCACTTGTTGTTCCCAAGGTCTCCCTTGATCCTGCCCCGAGCAGGTATCCTGACTGGGAGGAAGGGTAAGAGGAGGGGGAGCATGAGGAGAGACGGGGAAGCGAGAAGTCCCCCAAGCAAGTGTCGCGCCGTGCCGCGCCGCAGCGTGGTGAGCCAGAAACTTAGGAGCGCCGCGCTATCCCAAAGTTCCCGGCCGTACCCGCTGTACTCAACACCGGACTCCGCTGCAGTATGAGGCCCGACCACAAGAAACCTCGCACAAGAAACCCAACCCTGAGACCCCAGGACGTCTATTGATTCTTGGTGTGGGAACGTCACGCTTCCCACTGCAAAACCACGGAAACCCAAGAAACCCAGGGCACCCTGGAGGCGAGCAGGGTCTTTCTTGGCATGGGTCCCCCCTGTAAATGGGGACGTGCGTGGCCCGGCGGCGACGGGCCCTCGTTCAGCCGCAGCGCTGGATCCACCTCGGGCCACGCGGCAGCAGAGCATCCGAGCGCGCACGCCAGGAGAGGCCTCGGCCCCTGGCATGGGAGGCCTTGATGCCGCTCCATGCGGGGTCCCCGAAGTCCCGGCCCCTTCTCCAGGGCTGGTCTTCCTGGAGGGCTGCTCGACGATCCCGGGGCCTGGCGAGGGCCCCCCCCCGGAGGCCGACCACTGCCAACACCATCCGTCGGCTTCCGTTCGCGACGCGAGCACGCCTGCGACGGTTCACGCAACCTCGAGCCTCGGCCTCGCGAGTACGGCGGCGCCAGCGGCGACGGCCCCCCTCCTCCTCCTCGGCCTCCTCCTCCTCCTCCTCTTCCTCCTCCTCCACCTCCTCCCTATCCTCCTCCCTATCCTCCTCCCGATCCTCCTCCATATGCTACTCCCTATCCTCCGCGCTCCGCAGTCGCCTCCGCCTCCACCTCCCCCTCCCCCTCCTCCTCCTCCCTCCTCCTCCTCCTCCTCCTCCTCTCCTCCTCCTCCTCCTCCTCCCTCCTCCTCCTCCTCCTCCTCCTCCTCCTCCTCCTCCTCCTCCTCCTCCTCCTCCTCCCCCCCTTGCGGGTCTCCTCCTGAGCTCCAGCCCGTTGGCGTCCGTGCTGACCGTGACGCGGGAGGCCCTCGCCTGGAGGGGGGGAGGGATGCCACGATCGCCAGACCTCGCTAGCTCGAGGATCGAGCATCGGATACAGCAGGCACATACGATGGGAAAGCTTGCAATCAGAAATCCAGGGTCGTCGTCGTCGGCGGCGGCGGCGTCGTCTCCATGGGAAATCTTGCAATCAGAAATCCAGGGTTGTCCTCGTCGTCGGTGGCGGCGGCGTCGTCGCCCTCGTTGTCGTCGTCGTCGTCGTCGTCGTCGTCGTCGTCGTCGTCGTCGTCGTCGTCGTCGTCGTCTCCCTTCAGGGTCGGCGACACCGGCCGTAAGGCCTTCGCAGTCTTGCAATCAGAAATCCAGGGGCACATCCTGCGTCAACTCTGAGCTTCGCAAGGTACCCCCAGGGTCCTGCGAGCCCGTCGGAAGATGTGTAGTTTTTTTGTGGGGCACCCGTTGACGGGCGAGTTTCTCGTTTGGTGTTCCTGCTGCGAGGCTCTCGGACGTCTCTCGCCTTTTCGAGCCCTTGGGGAGCTCTTCGTGGCCACGGATGGGTACGACCCGAGATTCTACACCAGAGCGCACCCCAGGGCGGGTCAGCGGGTCGATTTCTGGCCCCGAGCCAGGCCTCCAATTCCTTGGTACGTCGGAGCAAGAAAGCAAGGCGAAGATGCTCTGCCACAGTGGTTCGGCACCTCGAGCCGTCATCGGCGGCCTCTGGGGCCAGCCAAGCAACAACTGCTGGGAAAGGGAGCCTGGCCCCTGGAAAAGGGCCGGGAGGTGTAGGGCTAACGTATAGAATAGTGGACGCCGTCAGAGGTCCAGAGAGGAAGAACATCTGGCGGGACGTGGGTGCTGACCTGAAGCGGGTGTAACCCGTGCCAGCCTCGGAGTGAAAGACGCGCGCGGCCTGTCTTGGCGGCGAGCTGTGAGCCTCGGCCGCCATGGGCAGAAGGGATCCCCAGGAGGTCTGGGCACAAGGATGTTGGATGGATCGCCCATGGAGGAGGCCCAGGGTCCCCCAAAAGATCCGTCCATCCACGATCATCGACGAACCCCCGCACTGTTCTGGAGGTTAGCTGCGAGATCCGCCGCCTCGGAGTCCGAAGACACCCCTCCGCCTAACCCTCTCCTTGTGTTGTGGAGGAGGCGATGGGAGCGAGAAGCGATAGCGAGGGTCGCCCAGAAGGGAGGAGAAGGATAGAAGAACAAAAACGGCCATTAGCAGAATCTGCAGGCGCTCCGCCCGGATTTCTGAGATCTGCGCTGGACCCCCCTCCCTGGCGCGCGCAGCGCGCCAGGGGCGGCGCCAGAGGCGCCGCCGGAGGGGCGCAGCGCGGATCCAAGGAACGCGCGCGGAGCACCAAACGTTCTGTTTGTGGCGTTGTCATACTTCGAAGGAAGGAGGAGGAGGAGGAGGAGGAGGAGGAGGAGGAGGAGGAGGAGGAGGAGGAGGAGGAGGAGGAGGAGGAGGAGGAGGAGGGGGAGCAAGAGGAGGAGGAGGAGGATCAGGAGGAGAAGGGGGAGGAAGAGGAGGGGGAGCAAGAGGAGGGGGAGGAGGAGGAGGAGGAGGAGGAGGATCAGGAAGAGGCGACTGCGGAGCGCGCGGCCTTGGCCGGTCCCTGCCCTCCTCGCCCGCAGGCCCGCGCGGAGTGCCGCCTGTCTTCATGCAGCGGGGCGGGCTCCCGCTCGGCCGCGGGGCGCGTCGCGGGGCGGGGGCCCCTCCCTGGACCCGGAGGTGTGCGCGCGCCGTCCCCGACCGTCTCCCCCAGAACTCGGGGGCTCCAGCCAGGGCGGATACGCGAGGCGGAGATCTGTCCATACTCACCGCCTGAGAACCGACGTCCTGGTGCCCCAGCTGGCGGTGGATATGGATATACTTTGGCCTCCGGGTCCCCGAACACGTCTATATCCGCCGCCTACCGAGGTCCCCGAAAGTTGATCCTCCAGGCGGTGGTCGTGTGCAAACTCCCGCCTCGGAGGACACCCCTGAGGCAGCGCAGGGTGATTTTCGGGCCGGGCGATAGGGGGGGATAGCAAAGGGGGAGGGGTTGAGAATCAGCTCACGCAGCTGATTTTCCCGAGGCGCCCATGTATCGCGGAATGGGCCCGGCGGCGGGGCCGAAACCAGCTGCATGCAGCAGATTTCGTACCCCCCCCTTTCCCTATCCCCCCCTTTCGTTCGGCCCGAGATTCCTGGGGCAACTGCCGGACGGCGCTGCATAACTGGTGCGTGCAGTGCCACCCCCATCCCCAGGGGCTCCAGTCGGGACTCGCTGCAGGGGGCACCCGGGAGGACAGATCTCTGCACAGGGCAGCCCGTGCTCCAGGCATGAAGACGTCACGAAGCTTAAGTCAAGCCTGCCCCTTCACAGGAGGCTTATTCGAAAATAGTCCGAAAATAGCAGGGAAACTATTCTTTACTATGTTTGAACATGTTGGGAGTATTTTTCGAGTACTGTTAATTTTTCATCATCCCCCTGTAGGGGGACAGGCCCCACCAAAACACGAAGCACGGTAGACAGGACGCACTGGTACCCTGGGTGCAGGGTCGATCTATGAATCAGACTCGACAGTATCTGCCCCTGCCGCTGCCTCCGAAAGATCCTCCTGATGGTCAGCATGGACCTGCTTTGCAAAAGCCTCCGGCACCGCATGCACGGAGGCTTCCACCAAGGCGTATGGAATGAGGGCGGGAGGGATGGGGAGGGGGGCCTCGGGGTGGACGGAAGGATGCCGATGCCGCTGGTCCCCAGGCCTCTCCCAGGGCGCGTTCTGACGCGGATCTCGAGGGGGAGCCCTGCCGTGGCGGCGGCCCCCCACAAGAGGGGCGAAGCCGAGGGAAGGGCATCGGTGTCGGCATGTGTATCTCCGCGGGGGGAGGAGAGGAGCAGGTGCGCCCGTGGGCGAGTGGAGCCGAGGGCCCTACGAGTGAGCCGAGGCACGGTGGCGCGGTCGTCAGAGCGTCCGGGCATCGCGTGCGCTGCGTCCGATCCTCATCGGACGGGAGTGACAGGCCGCGGCCGAGGGCGAGCGTTGAATGTACGCGTCCTCCTTCCTGCCCCGGGAACGGATGCATTCGGCCTCCTTCTCTTTGAACTCCCGGACCTTGGCCGCGTCGCCGACCTTCTCGAACGCCCACGCCAGCGTGCTGTAGGTGATGGCATTCGGGGCCACGCCTTTGGACTGCATCTCCTCCAGCAGCTGGATGGCCTTGTCTGGCTTCTTGCTCTTGGCCCAGCAGCTGATCAGCGCGGTGTAGGCGACGACGTCGGGCTCGGGCCCGTTGGCCTCCATCTCGCGGAATAGCTTCTCGGCTTGATCGTCCCACAAGCGTTTCTCGCAGGCGCTGATGAGGGCGCCGTACGTGAAGGCGTCGGGCACGACCTTCGCCTCCTTCATGCCACGGAAGAGGTCCATAGCCATTCCTATGCGCTTCGAGTGGCCGCAGGCAGAAATGGCGGCGTTGTAGGCATAGCACGTAGGCGTCAGCCCGCTGTCCAGCATCTCCTTGAACAGGTCCATGGCCATGTTGCAACACTTACACTTGCCGTAGACGCTGATCAGGGTGCCGTAGGTGTTCGCGTCAGGAGTCACTCGGAGCTCCCTCATCTTTTCGAAGACCTCCTTGGCCACCTCCGCGTTGCGCAGCTGCTCGCAGCAGCGGAGGGCGCAATTGCAGACAATGACGTCCGGGGACATTCCCTGGTCCATCATCTCCTGAAACAGATTCATCGCCTGCTGGGGCATCCTGCCATTCTCGCAAGCCCGGATGACGGCCTGGTAAGTAGCCGTGTCCGGCTTGGGGCCCCTCTGCTTCATCTCCGCCAGCACCCTCAGCGCGTCCTCGGGAGCCTTGCCCCTGCTGTAGGCGTGGATCCGGGCGTTGTAGGCCGCGGTGCTGCTCGGCACCACGCCCTCGCCTGCCCGCTCCTCCGCACCGCCCTCGGCGGCAACGGCGGCCCCTGCGCCTGCCCTCCGGCCGCCAGAGGCGACCTCGTCGCACACGCTCGTGACGGTGGATCTCGCGAACTTGCTGGGCGGCCTGCCCTCGTTCTCCATGCAGCGGATGGCCTCCAGCGCGCGCGACACGGGCAAGCTCCTCCAGCTGTTCGTCAAGGAGCTGTGCGCGTGCACGGGGGGCGCGATGCCTGCCTCCTCCATCTCGACGAAGATGCGGAGGGCCCTCTCCGGATCCGAGCACCTCTCGGCCGCCTGCATCAGGGAGCTGAAGGTGATGACGTTGGGCTCCTCGCCAGCAGCTGTCATGGCGTCGTAGACCTGCCAGGCGCGCTGCGGTTCTTGGCTCTGCCCGCACGCGCGGATCAGCGACGTGTAGGTGACGACATTGGGTTCCAGGCCTCTTTCCCTCATTTTCCCGAACATCTCCAGGGCCTTCTCTGACATCCGCCCGTTGCCGCATGCGCTGATGAGCGCGTTGTACGTGACCACGGTAGGCTCCACGCCCTCCTTCTGCATCGTGTCGAAGAGTTCGAGGGCCATCTTAGGCTGCTTTCCCTTATCGCAGGCGCTGATCAGCGCGGTGAAGACCGCCACGTTGGGCTCGATGGACTTCCGCCGCATCTCCGTCAGCAGCTCCAGGGCCTTCCCGCACTGCTTTGCGCGGCCGCAGTCCATGATCAGCTTGACGTACTTCTGGCAGTCAGAGTGCCCTCGACCGACCTGGGGAGCGCCATCGCGCAGCACAGCGGCAACGCCGTCTTCTGCCAACGGCTGGGACAGGGCTCCCTTCGGCCGAAGTGGCCCTTGGAGCACTCGGCCCGCTGAGTAATCGGCCGAACCCTCGGGGGCAGCTGGCACCCGCATCCTCGGCAGCTGCTGACTGCGCTGCTGCTGCTGCGGAACCTCCACGCACTTCTTGCACGTCCGAATGGCCCTTGGAGCCGGGAAACCGTCCCGTGAGGCCGCCCAGGCCGTCCTGAGGAAGGCCAGGAAGGCCACGAGCAGCTCGACCTGGCCGCCACCGCAGAGCGCCAGGGCGACTCCCGCCGCGGCCGCCATGCAGAGCCTGTGGTCCAGCTCCACCCCCAAGAGCGCGGAGAAAGATCCCTGGCTGCCCAGCTTGGTGGCGAATGACGATCCCTCCATGCGGGGCATCTTCGAGTGGTCTGTTAATAGAAATGTTCGGCTTGTAGGCCGCGGTGAGTAGATGAGTTTGTAATTGACGATGGGTGAATCTGTGAGTCGGAGCATCGGCTTGGGCCACCTGCGGAAGGAGGAGGAGGAAGAGCAGGAGCAGGAGAAGGTGGCTGCGTCCGTCTCCGCCTCCTCCTTGCCCTTGCCTCCTCCCTGCTGCTGCTGCTCCCACTCCTCCTCCCTACTGCTGTTCTCCCTCCTCCTCCGCCGCCTCCGCCTCCTCCTCCTCCGCCTCCTCCTCCTCCTCCTCCCTCCTTCCCTCCCACCCTCCCCCGCCATATTCACTCTTCCCCTCTACCCCAATTCCCTATGATACCTCCCCCCCCGTCGCACACTCAGACGTATTGGTAGGGCGGGCGGGGCGTTTCGCCTGAGACTTCCTCACCATTGATGACCCCGACACTTCAAAAGTACAACAGCTTCAATGATGGAGAAACATGGCTTTCAAAATGCGGCTCTCCCCGTAGAACCGCGCACACTCGTCTTTCAACATTGCAACCACGCCGCAAGTGGACGGCTTTCAACATGTGGCTTCCGCCTTAGTGCCGCGCGCATCCGCCTTGAAGTCGGCAACACTTTCACGGAGCAGCGGGGGTGCTCTTCAAAATGTGGCTCTCGCCTTATCGCGCCGCAGATAGAAAGGCACCAACTACACAACAACACCGATCCTGGCCAGGACCACCCTGGGCCCAGGATCGGTGTATATGCCCTCTTGCCCAGGGCAGGAGGGCGCATACACCGATCCTGGGCCCAGGGTGATCCTGGCCAGGATCGGTGTTGGTGTGTAGTCGGTGCCCTCCGAACAGACTCGTTCTCACGAGCTGCAGCCGTGTCCACTGGCGGAGGGGGTGGGCCGTCAGTGTGTGGCTCTCGCCCTGACGTCGTGCGCACTCGCCCTGAAAGCTTGCATCCGCGTCGCGCGGAGGGGGGGGGAGGAGGGGGAGGGGGAGAGGGGGAGGGGAGGAGGAGGAGGAGGAGGAGGAGGAGGAGGAGGAGGAGGAGGAGGAGGAGGAGGAGGAGGAGGAGGAGGGGAGGAGGAGGAGGAGGAGGAGAGGAGGAGGAGGAGGGGGGAGAGGAGGGGAGGAGGAGGAGGAGGAGGAGGAGGAGGAGGAGGAGGAGGAGGAGGAGGAGGAGGAGGGGAGGAGGGAGGAGGAGGAGGAGGAGGAGGAGGAGGAGGAGGAGGAGGAGGGGAGGAGGAGGAGGAGGAGGAGGAGGAGGAGGAGGGGGGGGGGGAGGAGGGGGAGCAGGAGCAGGAGGGGAGGGGGAGGAGAGGAGGAGGAGGAGGAGGAGGAGGAGGAGGAGGAGGAGGAGGAGGAGGAGGAGGAGGAGGGAGGAGGAGGAGGAGGAGGAGGAGGAGGAGGAGGAGGAGGAGGAGGAGGAGGAGGAGGGAGGGGGGGGGAGGAGGAGGAGGAGGAGGAGGGAGGAGGAGGGAGGAGGAGGAGAGGAGGAGGGAGGAGGAGGAGGAGGAGGAGGAGAGGAGTAGGAGGAGGAGGAGGAGGAGGAGGAGGAGGAGGAGGAGGGAGGAGGAGGAGGAGGGGAGGAGGACGGGGAGGAGGAGAGGAGGGGGAGGAGGAAGGAGGAGGGGGAGGGGGGAGGAGGAGAGGAGGAGGAGGAGGAGGAGGAGGAGGAGGAGGAGGAGGAGGAGGAGGAGGAGGAGGATGAGGGAGGAGGAGGAGGAGGAGGAGGGAGGGAGGAGGAGGAGGGGCAGGAGGAGAGGAGGAGGAGGAGGAAGGAGGAGGAGGAGGAGGAGGAGGGGGGGGAGAGGAGGGGGTCGTTTTCAAAAGGTGGCTCCCGCCTGGGCGCCGCGCGCACCCGCCTGGAACATCCCGCAGCAGCTTCGCGGACGGAGAGGGCGGCTCCTCCTCGGAGCGTGGCTCTCGCCGCGGTGCCGCGCGCACTCGCCTTAAAAAGTGTGTGCAACAGCTGCTGGGATGGACGGAGATCGTTTGCAGAATGGGGCCCTCGACTCGGCCACGAATGGTCATTTCTGGGTTCTCAGAAAAGGGGTCTTTCCCGCGGTCATTCGCCCCTCTTGAAGCCTGCATCAGCTTCACAAGCGGAAGGGGGCTCGTTTATAAAAATGGCGTCGTCCCCATAAGCGCCGCGCATCGTCCTTCCTCATCGTTCGCACTAGCTCGACGGCTGGACGGAAGTTGCGCTTCAAAGTGGGGCATTCACCTTGGCGCCGCGAACGTTCGCCCAAAAAACTTGCAACCGTTTCAAGGATCGAGCACTGGTCGTTTTCAAAATTGGGCCTTCGCCGCAGCGCCGCGCGCACTCCTCTGTTCAAAAGCACCGTTCAGCAGGATGGACTACTGCTTTGTTTCAAGATGAAGCTCTTAGTTGGAACTTCGTGAGGTACAACATTCGATACTTCAACGCAGGTAGCGTTACACGGATCCATGGCGGCTTGAAACCCCACTGAATTCCATGACGGGAGCAGGTGTACTGCAAACCCGTGCGACAGCCGCACTGGCGGGGGCCGGTCCTTCTTCGCCATGGGGCCGTCGCTGGAAGCGCGCTGAAGTGTATGACCACTGATCCTTGCGTCCCTGACTAGAAAAAAACGTCCCTGACTAGAAAAAAACGCCCTGGGATGATGCAGAGCAATGCTGTTCCAGAGGGGCCCAAAGCCAAAATGGAGGGCGCAACTGTGCTGGTCGTGGAAGGGGCGCCTCTTGCAGTGAAGAGAGGAAGACTTGCAGAGGTACGTGCTGGCACTTGGGAGGGAAGTGGTACAATTCATTATCCCGTATACATATTTTTGGAGGCCTGGCAATGGGCACCAACACCAACACAGGGGGGTTGCCTCCACAGGGGGAAGAGGATCCTCGATTTCGGTGTTGGTGGTAATAGTTCGGTCACCTTGGAAGGCAGAACATTGCCACCATCACCGAGATCGGGGTCTTCTTACCCTCAGTGGATGCACACCGCCGATAATGCTGTTGGTGTCAATTTCTAGGCCTGCGATATTTGGCTTACTCTAGCCCTCCTCCTTCTGCTCGTCCTCGCTTCCTGCTCATCTTACCGTGCTCATCCTCCCTGTTGTCATCGAACCCGTAGCATCAGCAGCTACGGCTTCACCTCCTCCTCGCCGTCATCATCCCCATCCTCCTCCATCGTGCTCCTCAGGCGCCGCATTCACAGCGTTTCACTCCCGCCCTCCAAGACATGATCCTCAAATAGACGTTGTCCATCCGCTTTGTGGTGACAGCCATGTGGTACAAGAAATGGAGCGTGAGCTGATGAGAGGAAGAAACAGCTATGCGGAGTAAGCTGTGTGGTACAAGCTGTGCCGTATGAGCTGGGCAGTCTGAGCTGGAGTCGAAAGCTGTGGGGAACACGCTGTGTGGTGCAGGGCCGGGATGCATAGCGTGCGGGGGTAGAAGGCATGCAGTGCAAGCTGTGTGGTGGAAGCTCCGCCGTGCAAAAGCTCACAGCACACGGGGGGCCTACGAGGCAGCACGGGCGGCGCGTGGCGCGCAACCTCGGCATGCCCCCCCCCCCCCACAAAGCTCGGGCGTTGCCCACGAGGCGCCCGCGAGGATCAGGGCCCACCAGAGGGGGGGGGACCCTGAGAGGGCGGGCGGGGGGGGGAGGGACTTCGATCCGCTGGCGCATCGAATTTCAGAAAATCGATGCCCCCCTGGGCGCCCCGATGGTCGACGCCCCTCGGGTTCCGGCGGCGGCCGGAGACCTCGTTTCGCGTCGTTTTTCTGCGGTTCGATGCGCCAGCGGACCGAACTCACCCCCTCCCCCCTTTGCAAAGTCCCGAGAGGCGGCGACACGGGCGGCAACGTTGGGGAAACCAACAAAGACCGCTGCCTCCCGGACCTCTCCTGGGGTGTGCTCCGACGCGGACTTCGAGGCGAATCCGGCGGCGGCGACGAGGGCCGCCCAGGAGGCCCACAAATGGGGGCAGCGGGACCCGTACCCTCTTCCTCCTCGGAGACACGTCGCAACCTCGGCACTCCCTTCGGCGACCAGGCGGCGGCCATGAGGCGCCAGCGGCGCCCAGGCGGCGGTCATGAGGCGGCAGCGTGGCGTAACCTCGGCCTCCCCCCCAAGAGCGCGGGGTGCACACGATGCGCCCACGGGGCAGCGCCGGCCGCAGCGCGGAGACAACCCCGAAGACCAACCAGTTAGCTGAAACAAACCTTCGGTGGCAACTCACGGGAGCCTCCCACACCTGCTTGTCGGCTCTCGCGAATCGACGCTGAACGACGCTTGTCGACGAACATCGACGCCAACCCGATGCTAACCGACGCTAGCCGACGCTAAATCGGTGCTACCCCAGCGACTCCTAGACGCCAATCGGCGCTAACTATATGTCCTATGCCATCGATTCCCACACGCCAACCGACGCGAGCCGACGCGTTGGCCAAGACTGCGAGGGTGCACGGTGCTCCCATGATCTGCTGCCGATGCAGCGAGCCACAGAGCCCTTCAGTGCAGGCACTGCCTGGGGAAGGGAAGCTCGCGGCGTGCCCGGAGGTGTGCCCCGCTGCGGCCCGGCACGGGACGATCGGGGAGCGCTGGGCACGGGACGATCGGGGACGGGGGAGAAGGAGGGGAGGAGGAGGAGGAGGAGGAGGAGGAGGAGGAGGAGGGAGGAGGAGGAGGAGGGAGGAGGAGGAGGAGGAGGGAGGAGGAGGGAGGAGGAGGAGGAGGAGGAGGAGGAGGAGGAGGAGGAGAGGAGGAGGAGGAGGGAGGAGGAGGGAGGAGGAGGACGAGGAGGAGGGAGGAGGAGGACGAGGAGGAGGAGGAGGAGGAGGGAGGAGGGAGGAGGAGGAGGACGAGGAGGAGGGAGGGAAGGGCGACACCAGCCCAGCCCACCCAGGGCAAGCCCGCCGGGGCCCTGCACGCCTCGAGGCAGAGGCGAGGCGCGCGGAGGGGGGAGGCGGGAGAGACGAGCCCCGCCGGGGGCGTCTCCTTCCCGTACTCGATGACGCTGTACGGCGGGCCGCAGGGGGAGTCGTTGGAGGAGTGGTTGGCGCACAGCGTGAAGATGCTGACGGGCTCCTGCCGCCGCGGACGGCGCCCGCATCCTCCCCGACCGGCTCCTGCCTTCTCCCTCCCCTCCCGCCTCCTCGATGCCCGACCTCATGATGGACACATGCTCCTTCTTGTCGCACCACTGCTGACGCGCCGGTAGGACGAGCCGGCCGGTTCCCCGGAGATTCCTCGCCATGTCTGATCATAAGGCCTGATAGTTTCATTAGATGCGCAAATGGAGGGTCAGTTTTTTTTTTCATAAGGATGCGCGATCAGGTTGCAAGGGCATTGGACGCCCACTTCGAAGCTTTTTGAGCGGGACGCGGCCAACGAACGTGGCCAAGGATGGGCCGAGGATGCAAGGATGCAAGGGTACCCTTGGGAAGGATGCCCATCCTTATTATGCGGATTGACTGTACGTCTCAAGAGCTTGCAAAAGCAACAGCTATGATGAGGGGATTGTCACAGTCGGGCTCTGGCGTTGGCGCCGCGCACGCTCGTCTTAAACACTTTGCAGGAGGGCACAGGAATGAAGGGCAATTGTTTCCAAAACGGGGCTCTCGCCTCAGCGCGGCTCACATACGTAGCGAAGACTTGCAACATCTACAATGATGGAAGCGATTCCTTATCGCAACGGGGCTCTCGATTGTGATTTCTTCAGGCCAGCTAAAGACCAGAAGCTTGAACAGACGTAGCTCCACGGATAGTGGGTGGTTCCGTTTCAGAACTGGGCTCCCGCGTGGGCCTTGCTCGCGCATCCTGTCCAGACGTGTGAACTTGTGCTCCCGTTGAATGGATCGGTGGGGGGGTTGTTCAAAACAAGGCTCTCGGTGGACACCTCGCTGAACTGTATTATAACAACTTTCTCGCATGCCGAATTACTGGCTAGATGCATGCACCGCAATTCCTTTTCAAAACGGGGCTCCCGCCTCCACGCCCACGGATGCTCATCTTTCAGGGGGGCGCCGCTCCTGGTGCAAAGGAAGGCTTGCAAGGGGACGTGGGGAGAGGACCTGAAACTGACATTTTGAACTGCAGCTGCAGGTCCGTGGGTGTATCCAGGACCCACCCTGGTCGTCCACCCTTTGTTGGGGGGCGGAAAGATACGGATACGTGTTGTCCCCGGACCTCTCTCGGGGTGCGTTCTGACCAGAATTTCGAGGCGAATCCAGCGGTGACAACGAGGATTCCCCAGGAGGACCAGGAAGGGCCGAAGACGACGGGGGACAACACGTATCCGTACCTTTTTCTCCCCCGACTTTGCCCCCGCGCCCATCACCCTCTACGCTCCCGACAGAGCCCTGCCGCCCCTCCAGCCGCACCTCCGTTCCGCTCGCGGGGCCCCGCGCCCCCTGCGCCCGTCCCGCTCTCCCGTGTCCTCTCCCTGGACATCCCCCGGGCATACCGCTGCGCGTCACCGCGGAAGCGGCGAAGCGAAGCGGGGGGGGGATGCGAGGAAGGCGCGGGGGATTGGGGAGGGCGGGGGGGGAGGAGGGGGGGAGGGAGCGAGATAGGGGGGGGCAAAGGGCAAAGAGACAGGGAATGGGGCAGCGGCGAGGGGGCATGGGCATAGGACGTTGCAAGAGGGGGGGGGGGGGCGGGGGCGAAAGCGAGTGGCGAAGGGGAGGAGGTGCTGCAACGAGGAGGGGGCAAAAAGACAAGGGGAAGGGAAGGGGCAGTTGGAGCTGGGCGTTTTGCGCGGAAGGCGTTGCACCGCCCTGCCCTCGTGCTCTGTTGAAGGAGAAGATCTGGAGAGGGGGGCGGGGACGGGGGGAACGCCGAGGATTGGGTGTTTTTTTTTGCACGTTCGGCAAACTTCAGTAGCACTGTCTGTGGCGCTCATTTTATTGAGATGCGCGCCGGTCAGGTCAGGTAACAATCAACGAGATACCCTACGAGCACCATCCCTCAGCAGGGCAAACACCAAATGTAGTGCCAAATCGCGTTGCTGGAACTGTGGGTGGCTTTCTTGGGGGGGGTCTCCTCCTACTCCTCCCTTTCCTCTCTCGCCTCCCTCCTCCTACGCCTCCAACTCTTTTTCTTCGTCGTCCTCTGGTACGAACGCAATGGGAGAAGCGCGACGAACGCTGGGGGGCCGGCAGACCGGGGCCAAGGTCTTCTGGGGCGCCTCGGGGCGCCGGGCGCGACCTGCTCAGTGTCAGAGAAGGTGCTGGGCCACGGGGCCAAAGCCAGCATGCAACAGTTTTCGCCCTCCCTTCCTCCCTCCCTCCTCTTTTCTCCCATCCCTCCTTCCTTCCTCCTCCTCCTCCCCTTCCTCCCCCCCCTCCGCCCTCAGATTATATGTTCCGTTATTCCTCGTGTTTTTAAATAAAACATTTCCCTGTCACACCCCGAGACCAATCGGAGGAGGGGGCACGGGCGTTTCGCCTGAGACTTCCCTGCCAGCTCTGATCCTGAAAACTAGATATTGACGACAGCTTCGCGGATTGAGGGCGGTCCGTTTACACAATGTGGCTCTCGCCTTAGCGCCGCGCGCGTTCACTGTAAACGTTGCGCGGGCTTCACTGGTTGAGGGCGGCCCGCGCGGCTCTCGCCTTAGAGTCGCGCGCAGACGCCCGTCAGAATTGACAGAGCTTCATGGAATGAGGGCGGCCCGTTTACAACATGCGGTTCTCGCCTTAGCCGCACATGTTCGTTCTCCAAAAAACATTAAAGACCTTCGCGGATGGAAAAAGCGGTTTTTCTTCAAACAGTGGGTCTCGCCTGAACGACGCGCGCATTCGGCTGAACTGATGCTTAAAAGACAAGGTTTACGGATGTGCATGGCTAGCGCCGTCGGTGGCTTCGGGAAGTGTAGGAGTGTCAGGTCAGGGCGTAAAAAGAACGTCGGTTCACACTGCTGCCCAGGGATGGCGTTCTGGCGGGGATTAGGATCGTCGAAACGCAACGGCCAAGTTGATTCGCGACGTCGAAGTCTTAACAGCGGTGATAGGTTTGGCTCGGTTTAAGCTGTTCACGCGGTTGTCTCCAAACGGGGCACATTCCTGAATGCTCGCAGGGGCCTATGACGGGGGAGCTTGGGAGGAGGGTCCTTTGTTATACGACATCGTTTGTAAGGCTCGGGCTAACACTGGCCTTCCCCCTTCCCCTTCCCCCGCGCCCATCTGACAAGACACCCCCGCCTTCAAAGAAACCGCCCGCCCTCTGCGAAGTTCAACCCCTCCCGCGCCACCCCCTTGCGCGCGCCGCCAAAATGTGGGAATGCCAGGTGCCCCTGGCCAGGAAGTCTCCCCGGCTTTTCGCGCCAGTTTGGGGCCCCCTGGGCCTCGTGGCGAAGTGCTCTGGAGGCCGCGGGGGCCTCCTTGGAAACCCCGGGGGCATTTCTTGACCGCCCACCCACCCCCTCCCCGCGTCAACGCCAGGTCTGAGCCGCGACGTCGCCCGCCGCTCGCCCACGCCAAACGCGGCCAAAAAACGCGCCATGCTGGAGTCGAAAGGCACGGGCCACTCTTCATCGCCGCCCTCGCCATCGAAATCGACGCGGCCAATTGCCTCGCGAAGCATGTCGTCCTCAAGGCGGGCGCCAAAGAACAGCTCGGGCTTGCGAGCGTCAGTCTTGGCGATCGCTCCTCGACCGGATAAGTTCTTATCTCGGCAGCGTTTTGAATCCTTGACCAAAACCCACGCGCCAGTGAGCTGGGGCTCACCGCGCTCGTCGCTGGACTTCACGGCGCTCCTGTCAGAATAGGAGTCGTTTGTTTTGACGTCCGCTTCGTGGTCGTCGGTGGTGCGCGCCTCCGCGTCGGTAGCCTGCTCAGTCTGCAAGAGCCCGGTCTTGCTGCTCGAACCCGCGGCGCCTTGAGTTGCCCCGAGACCGAAACGTCGCAGCATACTGGGAACGAGCTGCATGAACACTGCGTTCAATCGCAGCGGACAGGTCACGAAGAAAACCTCCCTCAGGGCGAGCAGCATGATTGCGACGAGACGTTAATATGGAAACCCTCTTCTCGAAACCATTAACGCTGATCGAGCGTAGGGAAGACATTGCAGCGGTAGGGCGGACAATTCTCCCACCTGCCGCGTGGGATAGCATGGGGTACATCTCCGCCAAGTCCTCGATCGGACTGCTGGGGCGCTTGGGAGGTGGAGGCGACGCAGCACAAGCCACGAAATACTGCACAGCGAACCTCTGGAGCGCCCATTTCTCTTTGCCAGCGATGTCAGCCTCCGATATGCCACCAAGTGTATCAGATAGCGCGCTAGGACCACGAGCCATGGCAACAGTGCGGAATACTGCTGGAGAGATGTGACGGAGCCAAATAAGATGCGCAAGTGGCTTGAGCCAACATGGTTCAGGTGGAAATCCTGGGGACACCTTGGGCCACGGACACCTACTGCAACACCCAGCCCGCCCTCAATTCCCAATCCCCTCTGTCTCTTTCGGGCGCTGGAGGTCCAAAGATGGTGTGGTGACCACACCATCCTGTGAGTCTGATGTGACTCGGGGCGCGCAAACGGCTTTGAGAACCCAGTCTTATCTGCAAGGAAGTCTCGAACGCCCGGGGCAGGGTGCCAAAAACCGTTGGGCCACAGACCGCACGGTGAGGTATTCGCGATTTCGACGTCACAAAATCAACTGTCACTACGGCGATCCTGGGACCCCTGAGGAACCCTGAACAGGGAGGGAAGAGGGAATGGGAGAGAAACTCGCCACAGGGACACAACAAGCCGCGGCCTGGTTGTTGCCGTCCGCGTCGACCGCAGTCAGGCTGTGTATGAACGCCTCGGCCGCCATCACTCGAAACAACAGTGAGTGGCGAAGTGAATGGTAGCCGAGAGGATTCTGGCGACTGGCGATGGTAAGCGTGATGATGATATGCAGTACCATGGCTGTCTTCATGAACATCGTCACGCACCTATGATCGGCGCCATCGCACTACGCAGTCATCATCCTCAGCACCTTCACCAGACTCGTCCTGGCCCTCCCTGCTGCCATGAGCAGTGTCATCACCAGTACCACTGCCCGCATGATAGACAGCATCATCGCCTCTACTACAATCACCGAGAATGTAATTCGGCGGTGGACAAACCTCTCTTTAGTAAACCTCCCTTTAGTGAAAACGGCCTGGGACGGAAACCGACGGACCTGGACCCGAAACAACGACGGCCGCGGCGCCCTCTCGCGAACCGAAAACGGCCGATTCGCTAATCGACGTGTCAGGGTAGGAGGTCCATCAACCTCCGAGAAATTACTCCGAGGGAAAAAAACAAAAAGACGTGATCATCAACGTTCGGAGGACTGCGGGGATGTCTTGGAAGGGCGCTGAAGGCGACGCCAGGGGGGTGGCCACACGCCGATCCCCCAGCAGTCCGCGCGGAGCTCCAGAAGTGTATGCTTGATGCACGTGCTTCTGCTTCGGTTGCCCTCGTCGCCACCACCACTGCAGGCGGGCTGCTGAACTGAGGAACGCCAAATAAGGCACGAAGCCCCTCTGTGGCATCAAGAAAACCTGGGTGCACGAGAAGGGCTAGAGGAACAGCCACGGAAGGACGTCAGGAACATCGAGCCCCTTCCGAATCCAGACTGTTCCTTACTTCAGCGTCTTGGCTGTACTGCCAACGCCGTCGTCGCCGTCCCCGACGGCATCGGCATCGTGCCATATGGCTTGGGCGCCCGAGTTATCCGGGGTAACTCGGGTCCAGGGTAACGCGGGTTTGGATTCCCGAAAAAACGAACCCGAGTTAGCCCTGACCCGAATCACCCCTGATGATTTGGGGCTCTGGACGCCCGAGTTATCCGGGGTAACTCGGGCCCGGGGTAACTCGGGTTCAGAATCCCGAAAAGCGAACCCGAGTTAGCCCTGACCCGAGTTACCCCTGATGATTCGGGGCTCTGAATCGCCGCTCTGTCGCCGAGGCGCTCCGGCCCCGTGGGCGGCGCTGCGGCTCGTGCCGGCGCGCCACGCTCGCGCGCCAGGATGGGGGGCGTTTCTTCTCGCGGCGCCTGCGGTTGCCTGCGAGCGCCCATGTCTCCCACTCGATATCTCCCTCCGCTCCCAACTTCCTTTCGATTTTGTTTTGTTTATCTACCTCTCTCTCTCTCTCTCTCTCTCTCTCTTTCCCTGTCCATATAATATGTATATCTCTCTTTCTGTCTCTCAGTATGCACGTATGTGTAGATCTATGTATGTCACTCTCTCTCTCTCACTCGCTCTCTCTCCCTCTCAGCCTGGTACCTCTTGCTACATGGGTCTGCACCTCTCTCTCTCTCTCTCTGCATGTCTTGCCCTGCCAGTCTGCACATGCCCGCCTGCCTGCCTTTCTCTCGCTGCCTCCCTCTACAGATCTC